GCGGGTTACCCGCCGAGCCGTGAGGTCGGGGTGCGATGTGCGAAGGTGGCGGGCGGATTGTCGATGCGAGGGTTGCGAGTGGTAACGGTGCTGACTGTGGTGCTACAGTGGTGTACGCGTTGAGCAGGGATGCGAAGTAAGGAAAAGGAATTTTCCTTACACTGATCAATAAATAATAGCTGATCGCTTTCACGGTGAAAGCACCAGAGTGTACTATCTATAAAGTATCTGGAAGCTGTCGAGAGATGAACTCGTTACGTACTCGTTATGCAGTTCAGATCTTAGGGCATGTTCCTACGGCCCCTTATCAGGCCAACCTCTTATCAAGCTCACGTCAAAACACACTGAAAATTTCATTAGGGCGTGTCCAGCTCGTTCATTTCGGGAAATCTAGTACCTCCTCACGATCCGGGGTTCAAAACTGAACACTGTACCTATAAACGAACGTGCCTTGCTCGAGTCCACCCTTTCTGTCATTCTGGCGCGCGGACACCATCCCCCCACACAGACTTCAACAGTGCAGGGGCCGTGTGGCAACCAAGGTAACCAGTTCCCTCGTCAACCAAAACGTTAGAATTTTCGCCAGGCCAACACTTCCACTATAGGTTTTGGCGAGTGTCAGGCGGCACATGCGAAATCAAGCGCGCGATACGATGGGCACTCACTGTAGTGGGCAGGACGCGGTTCTGTACCATTGTTCGATGCGCACACTGATTCCTGTAACGTGCGTCACACGATTCGAGGTACGTGCAGGGGGTGTGCCGTATCGTGAACGGGAGCTGATCGTGTCTGGCATTTTTGTAAAACTCAGTGGTACAACGCATATTGTGGTAACTGAAGGGCTTTACGAACAGTAAATGAACGAGCTGGACACCCCCTTAACCTAACAACCCTCGCTACTTTTACCAGGCAAGGCTGACAAGAGGTTTGCCTGATAAGAGCGTAGGAACATGCCCTTAGAGCTGCTGGATGAGCAACCGATAAATTTATACAGTTAACTATATTAAAGCTAGTGTCCCATACATATGTACCTATCAAGTCATTCTGATGAACATAATCATTCCAACGAACATGGCAAGAAGAAAGATCATGGCCAGCCACGTCGATAAGCCAGTGCAAAATCCCTGCCGGGCCAACCGTGAAGCCCTCTGATTGGCCCGACTCAGGCTGGCCACGTTTCTCTCCATTGACTCCTCGGTTGCATCAAGAACCTGCACAAGAAGATGAAAACAGTAAAAGCAAAATAAATACCCCTATAATTAGCAGCACAAAACAAATTGAAGTACATTGTAATCATTCAACTCAACCATATACAACAGAACTACTCCATGAGATGGCAGCAGCGTGTCACCTTATTGGAGCTTTTGACTTTCTCCTCCATGGCGAGCGAGTTGGCCTTCATCTGCCCTGCCAGCGTCAGCATCTGATCCGACAGCTCCTCCTGAAGGTTCCTGGAGGGACGAGGGAAGGTAAGAGAGTCGGCAGAAAGGAGCAACGAGTGGGTAAAGGAAGCAAACATGAGGAGAACGAGAGGAAAGTGAGGAAGGTTGAAAGAAAAGGAGAAACGGAGGAGGGGTTGAGGGGGGGGAGTGAGGTGGGGGGGGGGGGGGGGGGGGGGGGGGACGAAAAGGGGGGAGGCGAGGTGGAGAAGAGCGAGCGAGATAGGAGTGCAAGCAGGGGGAGGGTCAGGGTAGAAATTGCGGAGAGAATATGCAAGCAAGTTTGAAGGAGATCAGCTGAGAAGAAGCAAGTGATGCTGCAAGAACATTACAAAGCATTACTTATGGGTTGTAATGATTGCTCTTGATGCATCGTCCAGGGATGACCCAGGGAGAGAAGAACCTGGTCGGTGATCTCTGGAAGTCGGCCTGCCCAACAGACCAAACAATGCATGCATGGGAAAGTGCTACGGAGTTCAGTGGAAAGCCATCACAAAAGGAATAGATGAAGTTGTGAGACGTCTCAAAATACAACCAACCAGCACAAGGCACCGAAAAACAATTCGATGGGTTTTGAAGCACCAACAACCTACATGAAGTAAAAAGAAAGTGAAGGCATGTACGCATGCATGGCAGGCATCACGGATCATGGCCACCACCTAGCCACGGGTCACTGGTCATGAAGAAGAGCTGCAGCGTGAAGGATCGCCTTAGCAAAAAAAATGAAGGCATGAATGCATGCATGGCATGGCATCACGGATCATGGCCACCACCTAGCACCTACCCATGCCGACCCCTCAACTGGCGGCGGCGTGATCGAAGGCCCAACGCCTCCCTGCCTTGCCCACCCGCAAAGGCTGCAGAATATGGCACATAGCCCCGCAAGGCACCTCCTTCGATTTCTCCCTGCTGCTGCTGATGGGATTGAGCAGGCTTGATTCCTCTGAAGGTTGATGATAGGTTGGGATCTTGAGGTACCAAGCCGTCCAGCTGGCATTCGTCCTGAAGAGGCAGGCTGTCCGGCATGTGCCACATGTCAGGCTGTGGTTGGTGAGATGAGGTGCAGGAAGACATCAGTTTGGTGATTCGGGAAGCAAGTGACAACACACAACGGAATCGCAAGACTAATCAGTGAAGCTTAGTCAGCTGCCAGCACATGGTCATCCAGTAAGAAGGGTTATATTATATGCCACCAAAAAAAACACTGCAAAAGACCCGATTTGTACGATACATAAGAATCACACGAGTCATCCGATTCACATGAAACATACACATCATATAACTCGTTACCAGCACGTGCTCTTCCAGCAAGTCAGCCAACAAAGTGATTCGCTGAAGGTACGCCTCCGCCCTTGCCGCCTGGGCTTGCGCTGCTGCCGAAACAGGGAGGCTGCAGAAAGGGACGCAATGCAGTGGCAAGGGAACCGGAAATGATTGTGCGTTGTATAGAAAGGAATGTTTTGTAAGCTGGGACTGGAACAGGTTAGGACTGGAGCAGGGTAGGACTGGAGCAGGGTAGGACTGGAGCAGGGTAGGACTGGAGCAGGGTAGGACTGGAGCAGGGTAGGACTGGAGCAGGGTAGAACTGGAGCAGGGTAGGACTGGAGCAGGGTAGGACTGGAGCAGGGTAGGACTGGAGCAGGGTAGGACTGGAGCAGGGTAGGACTGGAGCAGGGTAGGACTGGAGCAGGGTAGAACTGGAGCAGGGTAGGACTGGAGCAGGGTAGGACTGGAGCAGGGTAGGACTGGAGCAGGGTAGGACTGGAGCAGGGTAGGAATGGAGCAGGGTAGGACTGGAGCAGGGTAGGACTGGAGCAGGGTATAACTGGAGCAGGGTAGAACTGGAGCAGGGTAGGACTGGAGCAGGGTAGGACTGGAGCAGGGTAGGACTGGAGCAGGGTAGGACTGGAGCAGGGTAGGACTGGAGCAGGGTAGGACTGGAGCAGGGTAGGACTGGAGGAAGGGACCACAGAACAGCCTAACACAGATTGTCTCTACAGTAAACAGTCAAGCTGCAAGTGGGGAAAACAGCATGAAGCTGATTGACGAAAAGGACTTGCAAACAGGATGCTGTTGCGCTTGCTGACACCTGCACTGTACCTTGCCGACTGGCCTGCTGTGTCTGCTCTTTTGAGGCACTTCAAACGTCGTCTCTTAACCCGAAATTGAGACTTCTCAAAAGCCGCCTCTTAACCCGAAAACGGCAAACAGAATGCTATTGTCCTTGCTGATAGCTGCACTGTACCTTGCAGACCGGCCTGCTGAGTCGGCTCTTGACTCCTGCTGCACTTGCGCAAAGAGCTCGCGGAGATACGCGACGTACTGCGGGAGAGCGGGATTGGCATAGGGATTGGCATTGGGATTGGCATTGAGATTGGCATAGGGATTGGCATAGGGATTGACGAGCGGAATCGGGAAGGTTTGAAGAGAAGGATGGGAGGCTAGGTCACCAGTTGAGAGGCAAAGCCGGACGCAATCGAGGCAATCAGCCTGCATTCTGAAAGGCATCTGTGTGTGATCGACCACTCTAGACCGAAAGATTTTTAAGTCGCCTAAAAAAAAACAAAACCGTGACCGAAGGAGCTGTGACGAGCACATATCGGTGAACGGAAGAGCTGTGAAATGAATCAACGGCTCGCTCGCAATCTCACCCACGTTGTGGAACTTGAAATCTCGTTGCAGCTCGGCTGCTGATTGGCTCCGTGCGATGCGCTCGCAGCATCGCAACAGGCGATAAAGGTCTACTTCCAATCGCGTACAGGGAGTCGGCAAAGGCGGAAGCTGCTCTAGCGCAGGTAACGCCGTGCCTTGACTGTCTGGCACTTGCTGTGGTTGTCCCTCATATTTTAAGAACGGCGGCAGTGGGGCTGTTTGTAGGCCAAGTGACATGATGGTGAGACACGTGGACAATGAGAAGCTGTTGCGGAGTCGGTTCCTAAATCAGGAACCAAATTAGCTGTTGGAATTATGCCTTAGCACAGGAAGGGTGTAATTCGGCGGAACTTACGGATATACGCGGTATGGAGCTACATACAATTTTGGTAGTGAGATCTGGATGGTTTGTATATGCTGTACCGCAGTGTTTTTCATGGTTCTCGTCCTTCACCATTCTTCACCACCTTCACAACAAGGGAGACCACGTGGCAGCCCACGTGCCCACGTGGAGCGCGCGCCGCAATTCATCCTCCAGCATGGCATGCACCAAAGCGATTTTGCGAGATGCGTGGAGATCCACCTTTCGCGCTGCAACATAGCACGGTTACTATGGATTTCGCAGCCATAAATTGTACTCACGAAAGCATCTGTCACATCGCCAACACAACCATGCCCCTTCGTTTGGCTTCAATCATTCGCAGCAGCAAACCAAACCGAATTCTTCGTCTGCTGGATTCACTTCACTGGCCCACCCTCCAAATCCAAGAAATAGCGAAGGCGGAAGATTCTAGGAGCTCTTTTGCCTTGTATTCCCCCTTACCTCTTCCCAACTCTTCCATTTGCACGCTTCCGTTCTCATTTCAGAGCGCTTGTCGCCGTTCCTGCGTGCGTCGTAGTCACGCCGTTATGGATCGCTCATCGTTGCTTCCGCAGACCGCAGCCAGACCGCGAACAGCCTTCGCATACGTTCCGCTAGCGCTGACCTTGGGGTTATTCACCTTTCTTTTCTTCTCGCGCCTCGCTTACGAATCTCGCGACGCCGGTTCGTCGGTGGACGGTCGCGATGAGGACGGGTTGAGCTGCGGGTTTCTGCCGAAGCTCTTTTCGCTCGTGTCCAATGAGAGCCTCGCGTTGCACCTTCGGGAGCTCACCGCCAAGCCGCACATCGCAGGCACCCCCGAAAACTTCGAAACTGCTCGTTACGTCAAGGAGAAATTCGAGGTGTGAATTCGAGACTTTATGGGTAAAATTTTCATTCAGTCTCATCGTGTCACGTGCCCGCATCACCATAGGATTTCACATCCCATCAACTCTTTTCGTCCATCTCACCTTCCCAACCATCTCTTCCCCCCCCTTCCTTTCCCCCATGCCCCCTCTCTCCCTCCCCACACACACTTCCCCGCATCACACGGCAGTCGTACGGGCTGCGCGCGCACTACGCGGACTACCCCGTGCTGCTCTCCTACCCGCTGCGCCAGTCGCTCCGCCTCGTGCGCCCCGTCGCGCGCAACTTCTCGCTGCGCGAGGAACCCGTTCACGGCGACCCGTTTAGCGCCTCGCGCGCCGCCACTGATCCTTTTAACGCGTATTCCGGTAGCGGGAGGGTCGGCGGGAAGGCCAGCGGGAGGGTGAGCGGAAAGGGGGCGGGAGAGGAGGAGGCGGAGGGGGAAGGAGCGGGAAAAGCAGAAGGAGCGGCGGTGGTATATGCGAATTATGGGCGCATGGAAGATTTTGAAGAGCTGGTGGCGGCGATTGGGGAGGAGCAGGTGAAAGGCGCAGTGGCGCTGATTCGTTATGGAAAGACTTTTAGAGGGGATAAGGTGAGCACATACAGTTCGTACTCTGTCAGCAAGCCAGACTCTTCCATGTGAAAACGGTCCCCTTTCCAACCCAAATTTCCGCCCTCCCTCCGGCGCTTTCCCCCCAAATATCGAACGTCCATCCTTTTGTACCGAACCTGTTCGTCAGGTTCGGAATGCAGAGAGGTTCGGCGTGGCAGCAGTGCTGCTGTACTCTGACCCAGCGGATTACGCACCAGAGGGCACAGATGCGGAGCATGTGTACCCGCAGCAGCAATGGCTGCCTGCTACTGGCGCTCAGCGAGGCACCATCTACACAGGTAAGGCACACCGGTGCACGGCGCGTGTAAGCCCAGGAGCAATGGCCATGTGTGACTGGCGCCCAGAGAGGCACCATCTAGAATAATACCTACCTCCATGCTGATGCGATGATGCAATGGTCTTCATACATGCACCACTATGCGCCATGCGACTATGCGGACCATGCAGACCATGCGGACCATGCGGACCATGCGGACCATGCGGACCGTGCGGACCATGCAGACCATGCGGACCATGCGGACTCATCCCTCTCCTCTCCTGCCCGTGGTTTTCCCAGGCAAGGGCGACCCTGCCACCCCCGGTTGGCCGTCCCACCCTGGAGGGGAACGGTTAAGCCACAAGGAAACAGCCAAGCGCCTGCCACGCATCCCGGTGCTGCCGGTGGGGTATTCGGTGGCCGGGGCTGTGATGGCGCACATGGGAGGGAGTTCGGTGCCGGAGGAGTGGCAGGGCGGCATGACAGACGTGCAGTATGTGTTTGGGCCGGGACCCGCTGCGGTTGACCTGGAGGTGCAGGTGAGAGGGCGCGCTTGGGGGGCGGGTGGGCGGTGGGGTATTCGGTGGCCGGGGCAGTGATGGCGCACATGGGGGGCAGTGATGGCGCACATGGGGGGCAGTGATGGCGCACATGGGGGGCAGTGATGGCGCACATGGGGGGCAGTGATGGCGCACATGGGGGGCAGGGCTGTGCCGAAGGAGTGGTGCGGTGGCAGCAGGCCGGGCGTGCAGTACGTGTTTGGACCCAGACCTGCTGCTGTTAACCGTGAGTGATAAGTCGAGCTTTGAGTCGACTCAAAACTCGACTTATCACACTTGGTGCAGTGGCAGGCCGCGCGTGCAGTACGTGTTTGGACCCGGACCTGCTGCAGTTGACCTGGAGGTGCAGGTGAGAGAGTGCATGGGGAAGAGGTCGTGTGAATTTTGCGAGCGTGGTTGCGTGCGTGCGACCATGCGTACATGCGACCATGCGTGCATGCGACCATGCGTGCATGCGACCATGCGTGCATGCGACCATGCGTGCATGCAACCATGCGTGCATGCAGTACCACTTGCACGTACATGATACGTGTATCTGCCGCCATGTGTTACAGTGAGTGAGTGAGTGTGGGGGTGATGCACCTTACTTGGAGCCATCCATCCCACCCCATCTCATCCATCCCTCATCCCTCCACTCTCATCCTTCACACCTGCTTGATTCTTCCTGCCCGCTCTCCGCATCCCCTGCCCATTGTTTTGGGATCTTCTCCTACCATCTGTTGGTTTGATCGCAGATGAACGCCACAGTCACCACCATCCGTAACGTCATTGGCGTGCTGCCAGGCTCCCACCAGCCGGACAGGTGAGCAGCGGGCAGGAGTGAGTTTGGGATACTGGACTGGCTGATTCCACATATGAACGCCACAGTCACCACCATCCGCAACGTCATTGGCGTGCTGCCAGGCTCCCACCAGCCCGACAGGTGCGCTGCTGAGGGCAGCGGCGGTTGTGGAATGATGGGTGTCTGATCTGCCACCTTCACTGAATTGAAGCCACCGTGGCTGTCTGTCCCTGGTGCCATTGCCGCGAGTGCCACGCATTACTGTATTTCAGCTATGCTTTTGTCAGTTCTGAGATTGTGATGCATTCTGTCCTCGTTTCATGTGAAAGTCAATAACATCACGTCAATACACCTCCCCTTCCCCCCCCCCCCCCCCCCCCCCCCCCCCCACCACCACCACCCCCGCCCCCGCCGACCCTGCTGCCGCCACCACACCGCCACCATGTGTGCAGGTACATCATTCTGGGCAACCATCGGGATGCATGGGTGTTTGGCGCTGCAGACCCCAACAGCGGCACCACCTGCTTGCTCGAGGTACCACTGCCTATCCCGATTGCGTCCATCCATTTCCTAACCATTGCACCGCGCTCCATCCATGCATCCTCTTCCTTAGCTTGTCCTTTTCATTCTTTTGGGTGCCTGAAGAATGAAAGTGCCTTCCCTTCCTTGTCTGCTCTTCCACCTTATCAGGTTGGAGCAATGGAGCGTGCCGAAGTGATGACTCGGTTCGTCTTTGCATAAGGCCCAACTTACCAATCTTGTTGCACCGTTTATCACACGCATTTCTTATCGTATCATTCACATAAATACTCTCTTCCCCCACCCCTTCTTCTCCACCCAATCTCCCGCTCCCCGCCCTCGCCAGGTGGCGCGTGCGTTTGGCCACATGGCGACACATGGTTGGTCGCCTCGCCGCTCGCTGGTGTTTGCCAGCTGGGATGCTGAGGAGTACGGATGTGTGAGTGTGACTATAGAGGGGTGAGGTGACAATGTAGGGGTGACGGTATGGGGTGACACTATGACAGTAGAAGGGAGTTGGTAAAGGTTAGCCACTGTGACAGTATGGGGTTGGCACTGAGGACTTGTTGCCAGTGTTTAGTGGTTGCACTGACAATGTATGTGTTTTTTTCTCCCCCACTCCTCAACTTCACAGTTTTCTCACTCTTTCCTTCTCCCGTCCCCATCCTCTTCCCTGTCTGTCCCCCAATTCAGCTGGGGTCAACCGAGTGAGTGGGTAGAGAGACAATGCGCCAGTGCTGGAAAACGGCAGCCATGGCATACATCAACGTGGACATCGCTGTGTGTGGGGTGGGGGGGAGAGAGTGCTTCAATACAAGTGCCATTTCTTTTCCCATGCCCATGCCCTTCCCCGTGCTCATGTGTCTCTGCAACTAGGATCAACGGAGTGGGCGGAGGACAATGCACCGGTGCTGGCATCATCAGCAGTAGCATACATACATCAACGTGGACGTGGCTGTGGGGGGGGGGAGAGTGCTTCAATACAAGTGCCATTTCTTTTCCCATGCCCATGCCCTTCCCCGTGCTCATGTGTCTCTGCAACTAGGATCAACGGAGTGGGCGGAGGACAATGCACCGGTGCTGGCATCATCAGCAGTAGCATACATACATCAACGTGGACGTGGCCGTGGGGGGGGGGAGAGTGCTTCAATACAAGTGCCATTTCTTTTCCCATTCCCATGCCCTTCCCCGTGCTCATGTGTCTCTGCAGCTAGGATCAACGGAGTGGGCGGAGGACAGTGCACCGGTGCTGGCATCATCAGCAGTAGCATACATACATCAACGTGGACGTGGCCGTGGGGGGGGGGGGGAGAGTGCTTCAATATACAAGTGCCATTTCTTTCCCCATGCCCTTGCCCTTCCTCATGCTCATGTCACACTACAGCTTGGGTCAACCGAATGGGTAGAGGACAACGCGCCAGTGCTGGCGACGTCAGCCATGGCATACATAAACGTGGACGTGGCTGTGGGGGGAGGAGGTTTCCATGCCTCCGCCACCCCACAGCTTGATGACCTCATCCGTGACGTCAGCAGCCAGGTAGGCACGCTGACGTCAGTGGCTGGGTGTGCTGATGGCATTGAGCCGTGTGGTGGACTGAGCGAGTACCAACCAGTTCGAAAGTTCAAGAGAGACTTTTGAGAATCCCAGAGATATGAGAGATGTCGGAATACTTTCTTTACAGCCCGCTCTTGCTAGCTAAGTCACCTTTTTGCCTCTTCATTCCTTTCTTCCTCTCTCCCCACACTCTCCGTCCCTCTCCCCACTCCCACTCCCACTCCCTTTCCCCACTCTCCCGTTGCTTCCCTCTCCCCTCTCTCCCCCCCCCTTCGTCTCCCCCTTTTTCGCCCTCACAGGTGGCCAATCCCGACGATCCAGCTGGCGAGTCGATATTGGAGGGGTGGGCGGCTGAGCACAGCACGTCAGAGCCTGAGGTGCGTTGTAGACCATGCATGGTGCATGGTGCACATGGTTGTGAGGGTGAGCTGGATACTGGTTGTGATGGTACATAGTATGGTACTAGAGAGAGGCCAGAGCACCAGTTGTGCTGTATGGAATAACCTCTCTGTAGCATCATAAAGGCACCTAATATCACAAATACTTTCACATCCCCCATTCTGCATGTCCAAAGGAAAGGTGTGAGGGACTCATCATTCCACTGTGCATTCCCGAACCAATTCATAAGACGTTTGAAAACTCTATCATTTCTGTCGGCCATTCCCAACCACATGGTGCAGTTGGGGCGGCTGGGAGGGGGAGGCAGTGACTACGCTGCGTTCCTGCAGCACCTTGGGATTGCCGCAGCAGACACTCACTTTGGAGGATGTGAGTTTGTGAGGGGGTGGTGTGAGGTTTGAGGGGGTGGTGAGAGCTTACGAGGGTGGGCTGGTATGAGGTTACAAGTTGGTCTGAGAGTTACTTATGAGAAATTTCAGAAGTGTTTTTTTAGGCTAGCCTACTTTGTGTCATTGAATGGCATTTGAGCCACCTCAAGAGCTCTGTTTCCATTACTCCCTTTCCATTGCAACCAGCCTATTCCGTGTACCACAGTGTGTGCAACAACTACCATTTGGATGGTTATTATAACGTATCAACCATCCTTTTCCTCTTTCCCCCCCCTCTCTCTCCTCTTCCCTTTCCTTTCCCCTCTGCACCCAGCCTACCCCATGTATCACAGTGTGTACGACAACTATCATTGGATGGCCACCTTTGCCGATCCACTCTTCAAGCGCCACGTGGCAGTCACCAAGATGATGGCTGGCGTGGCTGCCAGGCTGGCAGGCGACCACCGCCTGCCCTTCAACTACTCTGCATACGCTGCCCACCTGGAGCATGACGTTGCAAGGCTGCAGGCTGACGTGGCAGCACAAGGCGCCCCGTCATCTCTCTCAGTGGAGCCGCTCTTTGCGTCGGTCTCTCGGCTCCTGGTGGCTGCCCAGGGCATTGAAGCGGAAATCCAGGTGCGCATTCAGGCTGGTATTCAGGGGTGCACAGCGGTGGGGTGCACAGCGGTGGGGAGCACAGCGGTGGGGTGCACAGCGGTGGGGTGCACAGCGGTGGGGTGCACAGCGGTGGGGTGCACAGCGGTGGGGTGCACAGCGGTGGGGTGCACAGCGGTGGGGTGCACAGCGGTGGGGTGCACAGCGGTGGGGTGCACAGCGTTCTGGAGCATATTTGTGTCCGTCTCTCGCATCCTAGCTGCTGCTCAAGGCATTTAAGAAGATATTTAGGTATTCCTGAAAACGCGTGTTCCGCGTTCAGGTGTGCAGTGCGGTGGAGTGCAGTGCGGTGGGGTGCACAGCAGTGCGTGGAGCACTAGGCCGCTCCACGCACCTGGCCAGCCCCATCAGCTTTCGTGTGGAACGAGTTCCATTTCAGCAGTCCCTCCCATCTTCCATCTCCATTTCCCGTGTTCCTCCACCCTTCCTCGCACTTCCCTTCTTATCCCTCCTATTCCCCGCTCCCTTTCTCCTCGCACCTCGTCTCAGCCCCATCTCACACCCCCCGAATCCCACGCACCCCTCCCACCACCACAGCGCATTGCAGCATCCAGCAGCAGCGCATGCAGGTGCACGAGGGGGAGGGGATGCCCCATGGAGGGCGCATCTGAGGAAGGCACAAACTGAGGCCATTCGCCCCCATCCCACACCCTCCCACCCCGCCACCCCTCCCACCACCACAGCACATCGCAGCGGCCAGCAGCAGCGCGTGCAGGTGCACGAGGGGGAGGGGATGCCCCATGGAGGGGGAGGGGATGCCCCATGGAGGGGGAGGGGATGCCCCATGGAGGGGGAGGGGATGCCCCATGGAGGGGGAGGGGATGCCCCATGGAGGGGGAGGGGATGCCCCATGGAGGGGGAGGGGATGCCCCATGGAGGGGGAGGGGATGCCCCATGGAGGGGGAGGGGATGCCCCATGGAGGGGGAGGGGATGCCCCATGGAGGGGGAGGGGATGCCCCATGGAGGGGGAGGGGATGCCCCATGGAGGGGGAGGGGATGCCCCATGGAGGGGGAGGGGATGCCCCATGGAGGGGGAGGGGATGCCCCAGGAGGGGGAGGGGATGCCCCATGGAGGGGGAGGGGATGCCCCATGGAGGGGGAGGGGATGCCCCATGGAGGGGGAGGGGATGCCCCAGGAGGGGGAGGGGATGCGCCATGGAGGGGGAGGGGATGCCCCATGGAGGGGGAGGGGATGCCCCATGGAGGGGGAGGGGATGCCCCATGGAGGGGGAGGGGATGCCCCAGGAGGGGGAGGGGATGCCCCATGGAGGGGGAGGGGATGCCCCAGGAGGGGGAGGGGATGCCCCAGGAGGGGGAGGGGATGCCCCAGGAGGGGGAGGGGATGCCCCATGGAGGAAGGCAGCGCCAACTGCTCGTCTCCCACACCCTTTCCATCCTCTCTCCCCCCTCTTCCCCTCCCCCCTCCCACCACCACAGCGCATTGCAGCATCCAGCAGCAGCGCGTGCAGGTGCACGAGGGGGAGGGGATGCCCCATGGAGGAAGGCAGCGCCAACTGCCCGTCCTCCAAGGCGTTTGACGCGGTGAACGAGCGCCTCTTTCTGGCGGAGCGGGGGTTCCTGGACGGCCACGGCATCGGGCCACACTACACGTGGTTCAAGCACCTGGTGGGTGGACGGGAAGAGTCATGGTGTGTAAGGTAGTGTGAGTGTGGGTGCGTGCTGGTGGGTTGGCTGTGCTAGTGCATGTGGCGTGCACTCAACGCATCTTTCCCAAATCTCAAATATTCTTTCCCCCAACATCCCCCCTGCCAGGTGTACGGCCCTGAGAAGGACAACGACTATGCCACGTCACCATTCCCCGGGATCCGCGATGCCATCGCTGATGTCATCAGTAGCAGCGCCTCCAAAAAGGAAAATCCCGAGGCTGGGGCAGGTGGTGCTGTGAGGGGGAGTGACAATAACGAGGATGGGGAGGAGTGGAAGGCGGTGCAGCATGAGATCTTCCGGGCAGCACGGGCGATCGAGAGGGCCGCGAAGATCCTCGAGGGGCAGCTGCTGTGAGCTGGTTTGCGGAGTGGTTCAATGCGATGGTGCGCAGTACAGTGTGTTTCCGGGTGGTGGAGCTGTGACATGGGATGGTGTGTTCCGGTTGGTGGCACAGTGTGCTGTGGGCAGCAGTGAATCGCTGCTGTGAGCACCAGGATGCATGTGCTCATTGCTGCGGACACAAGCTTTGCCAGTGCTGGTGTCTGGTCCGACCCGTCTGTTGAGATGTGCGAAGACTTCGTTTGCTAGTTATTGTATAGAGTGCCCTGTTGTCGGACACCACTAGACCACCTGTGAGCGGCCTGTGGTCTGTGCTGCATGGCACTACTAGATGCCAACAGTGCTAGAAGCACTGTAGTCATATATATACTAGGTAGTGCAGTGGGCAATGGTGCGTGGGTGGTGCAGTTTCTCACTGCTGCCCTGTTACAGTATATGAACCAGTGTGTGTGACAGAAAAAGTGTTTCGCATGCTTTCCTTTCACTTGCATTGTAGACATTTGCTTGTCCGAACTCAAGCTCTCTGCCATGGATGGCAGTTAAAGAGCACATGCATAGGCTATCAGAGCCTGTGATGGACGTACAGCACGGTACCGTAGGTACCCTGGGCAGCCTCGTATGCAAGAGGGTTCAGAACGGCACCCTGCCACGCAAGCCGAATCAGAGTGAAGGACTGTGCTCCCTAATGTCAAGTGAGATGTTTTTCACCGCCTCGATCAATGAGTAGCTGTGCCTGTGGAATCACCATGACACACGGTATGAAGGAATGGCTGCACTGCACGGATTTCCATTGTTCAAGAGTACACACTTGAGTCGCTGGAGCGTGGATGTTATATGCATCGCATACTGCCTGAATACAAAGACAAAAGGCAGAGGATTGTCAAATGGAAGGTAGCATGCGCTGCTTTCACCATGAGCAGTGCCTGGGAGAGCTTGGGTAGGGTCCGTTAGTGATAGACAAGCACATGGTCCTGTCGGGGAGCAAAGGCCATCAGGGATTTCGGCAGCACAGCCGGCATGATGTTCCCTACTACCGGTATATCGCACTCTGCTCCCTATCTTGGCATCATTCGCCCATGAGCAGCGTCTGAAAGAGCTTGGGTCTGTCAGGGATGGCTGAGAGGTCCACATAGTCTGGGATCTCCGCCTTGCTGACCCATACAGCACAAAACTCTCAGCTGTTCCCTATCGTATCACTCGTCCATGCAAACTGCGTGGAAGAGATGTCACTCGTCCATGAGCAGCGTCTGGAAGAGCTTGGGTCCATCAGGGATGGCCGAAAGGTCCACATACTCTGGGATCTCTGCCTTGCTGACCCACGCGAAATCCTTTATTGTCCGGGCAGATGGTTGGAAATCACCTCCTAGGACATGGGCTCGGAAGAAGAATGCCGTGGCTGCAGCCTGGGATAGAATCAGAGAGGGAGATGGGGAGGTGGAGGGAGATGAGACGATTGTTTAGGCGGCATGACAATGGTCGCATCATACACTGGCAGGAACTCCCCTCCTCCTAGGACGTGGGCTCACAAGAAGGCCGCGGCGGCAGCCTGGTTGGAACGAAGGTTGCCAGCAAAAGGCTTTTGAGAATGAAAGGGGAAGGTGTGTGGGGATGGGGAAAGGTGTGCAGGAAAAGACTTTTGAGACGTCTCAAATGTCGTCTAGCACATGCGCTCCGAAGATGAAAGCTGTGGCAGGAGCCGGTTTTTGAGTCGACTCAAAAACCGAAAGCTGTTGCAGGAGCCTGGTTGGAACGAAGATTACCATACGGACAAAGGGAAGGTGTGAGGGGATGGGGGACGGTGTGAGGGAGGCATACAGCCATGCCTGTCTTGTGAGACAGGCCCATGACTGAGAGAGGGTACGGTATAGTGTGATATGAGGTGTGTCGGTGTGTCATACGGTGCTGTGGGAGAACAATGGGTATACAACAAACAAGTATGGACCAAGCAGGTCGATGCGAGTATCAGGTGTACAACCAGTCATACTCGTTACTGTCACACGCAGCAACAACGGGTATGGTACAGGAGGGCCACAGGCACATGGTACATTGCCAACGAGGCTCCCGAGAATTGGATACATGTAGTGCACGCCTGCACCTCTCATGCCGCAACACAACACAGCAATAGGAATTACCGTGGGAGCATACGCGCAGGAAGCACTGGTAACAAAATGGAGGTCTAGGGACGAGCCTGAGGAACGAGTAAGTGCAGGCGTACATGCAGTGCACCCTCCACCTTGATTGCATGTGCGCAGGGCTTACCATGGGAGCATGCGCGCAGGGAGCATTGCCAACAAAGTAGAGGTCGAGGGAGGAACCGAGGGATGCTGCTGCTGCCCTCTCTGCACACTGCAGGCGAACACACCAGGCCAGGCGAGGCCAGGCGCACGCACGGGGGAAGCGGAGAGAGAGAGAATGAATGTGAGAAGAGGAGGGGAAATAACAGAGAAAGAGATTATGGGCAGGAAACCAAGCGATGGAGAAAAGAACGAAGGCCATGGTGCAAGGTTGGGAGGGATGGGGGGAAGCGGAGTCACTTTTAAGAATTCCATGTGAATCAATCAAGTAAACATGGCTGGAATGAAGCACACGTGGCTTGTAAAGCACACATGGCTTGAAAAACACACCTGGCGCATGGAATCTTCGCCTTCGTAAAGCTTCTCGGGGAAGTGCCATGTGTCGCTGCCTGATTGGCCGGCAAGCGAGGGCCCCTTGAGCAGCAGGTACAGGCGCTTGTCCAGTGCGCGCTGCAGGGACCTGGTGGGTGGCGGGGGGGGATGGGGTGATGATTGGGGGCACCATGAGGGTACAGGCGGAAGTACAGGCGGATTGGAGGGGGAAGCAGGTACAGGCGCTTGTCCAGTGCACGCTGCAGGGACCTGGTGGGGGTGGGTGGTGGAGAGGGGAGGCGGAAAGAAGGAAGCGGGAAGTGGGGGGAGTGGGGGAGTGGTGTGGCGAGAGCAGGTACGGGCGCTTGTCCTTCGACCGCTGTAGGGACCTGGTGGGTGGGGTAGGGAGAAGGAAAGAAAGTGGGAAATAGGGTGGAAGTGATGGGGGAGGAAAAAGGAAGTGGGAAGTTGGGGGAGTGGGGAAACAGGGGAAGGAACAGGTACAGGCGCTTGTCCAGCGATCCTTGCAGGAGCCTGCTGCTGAGGGGGGGAGAGGAGAGGGGGACAGTGAGGGGGAGAAGGGGGGCAGTGAGGAGGAGAGGGGGGCAGTGAGGGGGAGAGGGGGGCAGTGAGGAGGAGAGGGGGGCAGTGAGGGGGAGAGGGGTCAGTGAGGCAGAGGGAGGGTAATGGGGGAATGTGGGAGGCACAGTAGGAGCAGTTTAGCTTAGCAATGGTGCGGAGGCTCAATAGTGCTTGACAGTGACGCTGTCTGCAAGAGAGCTGACTTTTGAGTCGACTCAAAAGTCACCTTAATAGTGCTTGACTTGACAGTGAAGCTGTCTGCAAGAGACCTTCTTTTACTCCATGCTTTCCCACCCACCCACCTGACGTCATTGGCCTCGTCAGCAGCGGTTCGTCTGGACGGCGCGTCAAACGGCGCCTCGAGGACTCCCGCCCAGTACTCGTCCTCCTCCTCGCCTTCCCCCTCAGCGCTTGCTGTGCGCGTGGCGGAGTGTGCGCGCGGAGGGGAAGAGGGGTGCGTGCGCGGAGGAGTGTGCGCACGGAGGGGAAGAGGGGTGCGTGCGCGGAGGAGTGTGCGCACGGAGGGGAAGAGGGGTGTGCGCGCGGAGGAGAGGGGGGTGTGCACGGGGAGGGGGGGGCGGGGGAGGTTGGGAACGGGGCAACGGGATATGGCGTGTTTGGGGGGACTCAGAAATTGTTTTGGAACGACTCGACGGGAGGAAATGCGGGAGGGAGAGGCTGGCGATGGCAACAACATGAGATTTTACGGGAAAAGCGGGTGAGGGCCGGATGGCCAACGTGGGAGGGGTGAAGGGCCAGAAGATCTGCCGTTGGGAGAGAAACGAAGCAAGGAACCGACACGTGGCACACCTGCATTGGTCGAAGAGGCCGCGTCTAGAAAGTCTTTAGGATACTGCTTGCGGTATTGCTGTTTCCGCTCGAAGCTGTCACAAATGCATAGGGAGGGAAAGGGTGCTCGTTATTGTCACACCTGGCATGCTAGAAAACCGATAAGGCTTAGACGCAACCTATCAACCTGAAGCGCGAAAGCGGCTACTACGATCACGAGCCTAAAGCCTCGAGAGATTCCCAGGCGCCTCGATACACGAACCTAAACGTCTCGTATTTAAGAGCCCATTCGGGAGGCTTCGGGATGACGACAGGCAGCCGCTCGACCAATAGCGACGCGATCAGCTGCTGACCCGCTGAGCCGCTATCTACGCTGCTCTCTGCGCTGAATAATCTTGCAGCAGCAGCGGTGCCAGCTGGCACACTTTGATTGACCATCGGGGATGGCGCGATCCATGGCGATCTGCTAGCGGCTGACGTGGACAGGCAAGCGGGAATCGCGCCGGATGGTGTGGATCCGGCAGGAGCGACAGAGGCCGCGAGCCGGCCTAAGTGAACGGCTTGAACTGCGGCTCGACGCATGGTACACGGACGGACAGACTTCCGTGGTTTCCTTGGGCCGATCGTGCTGCGGGTCTCGACGTATATTGTGAAACGATCACGGTGTAGTAGTCAGGAGAAAGTCAGGAGCGAGAACCCGCAGCACTCACCATAGGAGTGAACAGCGCACGATCGAGTGCACAAGAATTTTGGTCTAGGAACCTTGGGTGGGACCTGGGGGTGAGCGAAATATGCGGTGTACCATTTTTGCTGCTTGTCGAATTTGCACATTCCAAACGCGATTGGTAACCCTTTTTCGTTGGCCCTATGACCCCACATCGGGCAATTTTCCCGCTAGTCACGAAACTCTTTCATTTTCGCACAGCCACAATCTCGCAAACACGACGCTTTTTGGGGGGGCTCTGCTGCTGTTGTTCGGTTGGTTGGGTTCAGTCTCCCCTCTCTGCTCATTTCCCAAATTCTCCTCATCCAAACCACACGGCATTCCCAAGGACTTCTCCATGCTTGTTCACCACCACAATCTCTTCATTGCTGTGAGAATCTGCACGATTTTGACCAGCACGCGCCCTTGAAACCGAACAATGCTGGTCAGCCTTCCGAAGCCCGCAATCTACGATGGTCCCTGTAAGAATTATCCGGCGGTCCGGGCTATATCAGAACCACCTGAACACTTGAATTTTCGCATTCTGAAACCGCACATGGTGGCCCGCGCTCCCCGTTCCGACCAATTTACAAGTATACTCAGGCAGCCTAGAATCTCCCATTCAAGGAAACTCCGTACGAACCTTCCCTGGATAGCGCTAGTAAGTACATTCCCGCTCCAAGCCTTTCGAAGCACGAGAAACGGCAACGCCGTCACATGCCGGACTTCGGGGTTCAATCTGCGCAATCTTCCCACGAAAGAAGGCTCGGCCGACGGAAGCAGTGGATCAAGGCACACCCGTTTCGCGGCTCGTCCGCAATTATCAGTCTCGGGATGTGGATGCCAATATGATCGCGACATTAAACGACCAACCTACAGATCGCACGAGATAATGACGCTTAAGTGCCAGGCGGGAACGAGAGATCATGTCGCACAAAGAAATGCGGGAAAAACACTACGTGAGCAGCACCAATCGTTCATGGACATGTGGCGGCGCATCGGCGTGGAACCAGCAGAGCCTCTGGTGCGCCTGGGAGTCGAGCCGCGGGAGGAAGTAGAGTCAAGAACGGGAACGTGGGAGGAAGAAGAGGAGGAGGAAGGGGAACGAGGCCTCTTTGTCTGTTCACCCGCAACGGATCACCCAGGTTCTTCCGCCGCTGGTCCCTCTGTTCCCGCTTCCGCGCCTTCTGCATCCCCATCAACCCTCACCTCTCCCCATTCTACGCATTCTCCTCCCCCGTTTGTGCCCGCGCGTCCCCCCATTCCCCCCGGCACGCCTCTGCTGTCCGTGCCTCTGCGCGCCACGCTGTGGGTGCCGCTGCACGCCACGTCAACAGCAGGGGGAGGAGGAAGGGGTAGCGGCACTCCAGTGCAGCGACTGGCGATTGCGCTGCTGCAGGCGGTTTGCGGGACAGGGGAGGGTGGGATGGGCGCGGGGGAGGGGGAGGAAGGGAGAGGAGAAGTGGGGATGGAGGCTGGAGGAGAAAAGCAGACGCAGGTGGAGGAGGAAGGGACGAGTTTCGAGACGTCTCAACAGATGGCGGGCAGCATATGGTGGCAGTATGCGGAGGAGTTGCTGCCGAGCGAGATCGAGGCACGTGATATTCTGGTTTGAAACCAAGGGCGGTGTGGTATGGTATGGTACAGTGTGGTATGGTATGGCGTGGTACGTGGGTGGGTATGGCATGGTATGGTATGAAATGGCACAATATTGAGTGAGCACACCATACCATACCATACCATGAGAGAGGGTGGTATATGGTCTGAAATACCGTCTCTTCCTTCCCCCACCCCACTTCCCCCTCACCCCTCCCCCTTTTTCCCATCTCTCCTGTCACATCCGTCCCTGCCTCTCTTCAGTTCAGACTCTGGCTGATTGGAGTGACGAGGACATAGAGCGCCTGCAGTCGTTTTCAGCAGCAGGAAAGGTGCGGGCATACCTTTGAGATGTCTCAAACCACCGCCCTCCCTGCCTGTCATCAGACTCTGGCCGATTGGAGCGACGAGGAGTTAGAGCACCTGCAGTCGGGCCCAGCAGCAGCGGAGGTGCGAGCATACGCGGCAGAGATGGCAGCCATGGAAGCAGCAGTTGCTGTAGCCGTGCCGAGGGCAGGGAGAGAGAGAGCCCGCTGGGCTCTGCGTGTTGTCACCTCACGGTCCTTCTCCATCTCTAATGCCGCTGACCCTGCCGGTGCTGCTGGTGCTGTGGAATCTAGAGGAGCCACTACGGAGTCGCTGCTCAGGGAAGGGGGTGCTGGTGATGGTGGAGGTGGCGGTGGAGGTGGATCGGCGGAGCTCTTGCCGTCCGCGTTTCAGGTTGGTTCCTCCTTTGCCATCCTCTGTCCTCTTGTGAGGCTGGTTGGGTAGGCATGACAGTTTGTTTGTGCATATTAATAAGTCTGTCCAGGTGGTCATTTTCCATTCTTCTCCCACAAACTCTCAGTTCTCTACTCCCTCTAGTAGACAGGCCCAATCACACCTGCTTCACTTCCACTCTTGGCACCGACGCAGAAACTCACCCGTGGTTCTGTACTCTGCTGCTGCTGTACTCGTGGTTCTGTACTCTGCTGCTGCTGTACTCGTGGTTCTGTACTCTGCTGCTGCTGTACTCGTGGTTCTGTACTCTGCTGCTGCTGTACTCGTGGTTCTGTACTCTGCTGCTGCTGTACTCGTGGTTCTGTACTCTGCTGCTGCTGTACTCGTGGTTCTGTACTCTGCTGCTGCTGTACTCGTGGTTCTGTACTCTGCTGCTGCTGTACTCGTGGTTCTGTACTCTGCTGCTGCTGTACTCGTGGTTCTGTACTCTGCTGCTGCTGTACTCGTGGTTCTGTACTCTGCTGCTGCTGTACTCGTGGTTCTGTACTCTGCTGCTGCTGTACTCGTGGTTCTGTACTCTGCTGCTGCTGTACTCGTGGTTCTGTACTCTGCTGCTGCTGTACTCGTGGTTCTGTACTCTGCTGCTGCTGTACTCGTGGTTCTGTACTCTGCTGCTGCTGTACTCGTGGTTCTGTACTCTGCTGCTGCTGTACTCGTGGTTCTGTACTCTGCTGCTGCTGTACTCGTGGTTCTGTACTCTGCTGCTGCTGTACTCGTGGTTCTGTACTCTGCTGCTGCTGTACTCGTGGTTCTGTACTCTGCTGCTGCTGTACTCGTGGTTCTGTACTCTGCTGCTGCTGTACTCGTGGTTCTGTACTCTGCTGCTGCTGTACTCGTGGTTCTGTACTCTGCTGCTGCTGTACTCGTGGTTCTGTACTCTGCTGCTGCTGTACTCGTGGTTCTGTACTCTGCTGCTGCTGTACTCGTGGTTCTGTACTCTGCTGCTGTCTCCGCCCTCCTTTTCCTCCCCCTGCAACACCTTCCCATCCCATCCTTCCGTCTCGTCCTTCGTACACTCCCCCCTCTCCCCACGTTCAGGTGCTGTGTTGGTCCCTCTGGTTGACATGGCCAATCACGCCCGCAACGCCGCCACCAGCGGATTCACACGCGGCCATGCAGCCGTCTCACACTCTGTCTCAAACTCCTCGCTCCTCCATCCATGCCTTTTGAGGCGCCTCAAAAGTCATCCATGCCCTATGCGCCTCATTCCATAAGCGCTTCCTGCCCGGAGCTCTCCTCTCCCCTCATCCCGGGTGCTCCTCTCAACCGCGGCACGTGCTGGTCCCTCTGGTTGACATGGCCAACCGCGCCTGCAGCGCCTGCCAGTGCCTCCCACTCACACACAACTGTGCAGCCGTCTCACATTCCGTCTCGCTCATGCCCCATCTGCCCCCCCCGCATCCCCAGGTGCTGGTGCCGCTAGTGGACATGGCCAACCACGCCTGCAGCACTGCCACGGAATCACACGCTGCTGTGCAACCTTCTGCCACGTGGCGCATCAGGAGAGGGCGGACGCAGGTGGGTGAGAGGGTACATTGGGTTGGGTGGAGGGTGTGGTGCGGGAGAGAATCGGATGATGAGGCCGTCTGGTCCGTGTCTGTGTGGGCGTATGGGTGCAGAGAAAAGGCAAGCACAAGCAACCCTGATCCCAACCCGTCCGTCCTTTCCCTCAACCTCCTCCACCCCACACCACCAACCAGCGCCCTGCATCCACCCGTTGCCCTCCGCGTTTTGAGCTACTGGCGTCACGCCCTCTGCTCTGCGCCCTGGCGCCCAAGTTACCATCTCGTACAACCCCCTCACCTCCCTCGCCTTCCATTCCCCCTTCCCTTCCATCTTACCAACCAGGGACCTGCATCCGCTCTTCTTCCTCTGCGTTTTGAGGTGCTGGCATCACGCCCTCTCCGCCCCGGCGCCCAAGCCACGATCTCGTACAACCCTTTTTCAAAGCTCTCAACAGTCACCTTCCTCGCCTGCCCAACCTCCCCACCTCATCCACACCGTCCCCTCCGCGCTTTGAGCTACTCGCATCTCGCCCCCTCTGTCCCGGCGCCAAGTGACCATCTCGTATGGCCCCCTCACCTCCCTCGCCTTCCTATCCCACCCAACCCCTCCATCCATCCATCCATCCATCCCATCCCATCCCATCCCATCCCATCCCATCCCATCCCATCCCACCAACCAGGGCTCGTCATCCGCCCCCGGCCCTCCACGCTTTGAGCTGCTCGCATCTCGCCCACTGCGCCCCGGCGCCCAAGTGACCATCTCCTACGGCCCCCTCACCTCCCTCGCCTTCCTTCTCTCCTTCGGCTTCCTCCCCCGCAGCAACCCCGCCAATCGAATCACCATCTACTCGCATTCGGAGGTAATGTGTGGAGAATGAGGGAAAAGAGTGTGAAAAATAACGTGCAATTCAGTTACTAAATCCCAACAACCTCTACTGGCTGGGATCGCCCTGTATTTGAATCAACCTGCCAACTCAATGTTGATGACCCGGCTGAATTCTCATCCCATCCTTCCCTTACCGTCTTCGATCTAAATCCGTTTGCGCACTAAACCAAGAGCCTTCGAGCTTGATGAATCAGCTGTATCTTCTTGCCTAACACGGACCTATTCCACCCGAACTTGAGCATTTCACTTGCGAGATTCCACTCTGCTGTCTAAAACGCAGTCTACCTCCACAACTCCCATGCTCTCCCACCGGTGTTTCTGAACAATTCTCACATGACAACTAGCTTGATTTTAGATGGCAACTCAATTCGTCTCCACACCTTCCATGCTCTCCCCCCACGGTGCAGCAAATGATGGATGATGTGGAGGAGAGGGTCACGCGCCTGCAGCACAAACGGCACCTGCTCTCACAGATGACCCCAGAGGACGCTCCTCTCCTCGCCTACACTGGTAAGCCCCGCCCCCCTCCTCGCATTTACGAGTAAAGCCCCTCACCTCTCCGCGCCTGCAGCACAAGCGGCACCTGTGAGGCCCTCGTCTCTGCTCTCCCAGATGACCCCAGAGGACGCTCCTCTCCTCGCCTACACCGGTGAGGCCCTCGTCTCTGCTCGCCTTTACTGCTATGGTCTCTGCTCGCCTTTACTGCTATGGTCTCTGCTCGCCTTTACTGCTATGGTCTCTGCTCGCCTTTACTGCTATGGTCTCTGCTCGCCTTTACTGCTATGGTCTCTGCTCGCCTTTACTGCTATGGTCTCTGCTCGCCTTTACTGCTATGGTCTCTGCTCGCCTTTACTGCTATGGTCTCTGCTCGCCTTTACTGCTATGGTCTCTGCTCGCCTTTACTGCTATGGTCTCTGCTCGCCTTTACTGCTATGGTCTCTGCTCGCCTTTACTGCTATGGTCTCTGCTCGCCTTTACTGCTATGGTCTCTGCTCGCCTTTACTGCTATGGTCTCTGCTCGCCTTTACTGCTATGGTCTCTGCTCGCCTTTACTGCTATGGTCTCTGCTCGCCTTTACTGCTATGGTCTCTGCTCGCCTTTACTGCTATGGTCTCTGCTCGCCTTTACTGCTATGGTCCCCCCCTCTCCTCACCTGCACTGGTAAGCCCCTCGCTGCTCCTCGCCTGCACTCACCTCCTCTCGTTCTCGCTTGCTCACTCTTCAGTCCTTCTTCCACTCCCCATCTAACCACCTGGTCCGCCTCCCTGTCCACTCATTCGGGCGACCTAGCAGTGAGGCTGATGGAGTGTGTGCTCGTACTGCATGCATCATCAGCAAACCAGCTTGCTCGCCTCGACCACCACCCACCTGCCCCTCTCTCTCTCACTTTCTCTCTGCCCTTCCACTCTCCATCCATCATGCCCATTCAGGCGGCATAGCAACAAGGCTGATGGAGTGTCTGCTCGTACTGCATGCATCATCAGCAAACCAGCTCGCTCACCTCGACCACCCACCTGCCCCTCTCTCTCTCACTTTCTCTCTGCCTTTCCACTCTCCATCCATCATGCCCATTCAGGCGGCATAGCAACAAGGCTGATGGAGTGTCTGCTCGTACTGCATGCATCATCAGCAAACCAGCTCGCTCACCTCGACCACCCACCTGCCCCTCTCTCTCTCACTTTCTCTCTGACCCCTCCACTCTCCATCCATCATGCCCATTCAGGCGGCATAGCAACAAGGCTGATGGAGTGTGTGCTCGTACTGCATGCATCATCAGCAAACCAGCTTGCTCGCCTCGACCACCACCCACCTGCCCCTCTCTCTCTCACTTTCTCTCTGCCCTTCCACTCTCCATCCATCATGCCCATTCAGGCGGCATAGCAACAAGGCTGATGGAGTGTCTGCTCGTACTGCATGCATCATCAGCAAACCAGCTCGCTCACCTCGACCACCCACCTGCCCCTCTCTCTCTCACTTTCTCTCTGCCTTTCCACTCTCCATCCATCATGCCCATTCAGGCGGCATAGCAACAAGGCTGATGGAGTGTCTGCTCGTACTGCATGCATCATCAGCAAACCAGCTCGCTCACCTCGACCACCCACCTGCCCCTCTCTCTCTCACTTTCTCTCTGACCCCTCCACTCTCCATCCATCATGCCCATTCAGGCGGCATAGCAACAAGGCTGATGGAGTGTCTGCTCGTACTGCATGCATCATCAGCAAACCAGCTCGCTCACCTCGACCACCCACCTGCCCCTCTCTCTCTCACTTTCTCTCTGCCCTTCCACTCTCCATCCATCATGCCCATTCAGGCGGCATAGCAACAAGGCTGATGGAGTGTCTGCTCGTACTGCATGCATCATCAGCAAACCAGCTCGCTCACCTCGACCACCCACCTGCCCCTCTCTCTCTCACTTTCTCTCTGCCTTTCCACTCTCCATCCATCATGCCCATTCAGGCGGCATAGCAACAAGGCTGATGGAGTGTCTGCTCGTACTGCATGCATCATCAGCAAACCAGCTCGCTCACCTCGACCACCCACCTGCCCCTCTCTCTCTCACTTTCTCTCTGACCCCTCCACTCTCCATCCATCATGCCCATTCAGGCGGCATAGCAACAAGGCTGATGGAGTGTCTGCTCGTACTGCATGCATCATCAGCAAACCAGCTCGCTCACCTCGACCACCCACCTGCCCCTCTCTCTCTCACTTTCTCTCTGCCCTTCCACTCTCCATCCATCATGCCCATTCAGGCGGCATAGCAACAAGGCTGATGGAGTGTCTGCTCGTACTGCATGCATCATCAGCAAACCAGCTCGCTCACCTCGACCACCCACCTGCCCCTCTCTCTCTCACTTTCTCTCTGACCCCTCCACTCTCCATCCATCATGCCCATTCAGGCGGCATAGCAACAAGGCTGATGGAGTGTCTGCTCGTGCTGCATGCATCATCAGCAGAGGAGCTCGCTCATCTCGACCACCAATGGACCGCCTCTCGCTCTCTCGCTGCTGCCAACGTCTCCCCGCGTACACGCTCCATCGCAGGTGTGTTGCCTTGCATGTTCCGTAACTCATGTGTTACCGTGGCAGGTGAATTGAGTCGAGACTCGCCACTACACGTTCGATAGCAAATGTGTGTCCTGTTACCTTGTGCTGTTTTCCGTTTTCATACGCACTACTCCCTATATGATCATGTTTTTACGTTTCTTGCACCTTTCATACCATGCCACACCATGCCACATCATGCCACACACCATGCCACATCATGCCACACCATGCCGCACCGTGCCACACCATGCCGCACCATGCCGCACCTTCCCACACCATCCCACACCATGCCTCTTCTCCTTCAAGGCGCTCCTGGAATCGAGTACTGCAGCGCCTCAAGAATTAGTCTGTCCCTCCATTCTTCTGAATGCCCCAACAGCCAAGCAGCTGGTGGATCGCTGTAGGGAGCTTTTGAACGATTACCCGACCACCCTGCAAGCCGATGAGGCGCAGCTGGAGCAGCTCAAGGGAGCCGTGGTGAATGATGAGCAGAGAGAGGGGAGAGGAAGTGCAGGTAGTGAGGGGAGTGGGCATGAGCAGGAGGGGAAAACGCGGCGGCGCATGCAGGCAGCAGTGGAGTACCGAGTGGAGGAGAAACGGATCCTTGCAGACGCGGTTGCTCGCTACGGCCGGATGGTGCTGGTGTGATACATTCATCTACCGTAGAACCTCCTTCCTTACACAGTGATACGCGCTTGATTTTGCAAATACACTTGGGAGTTGTCTAATGAAGTACCGTAGTAAGTAATGAAATTGATTGAACATTACCAGAACAGTGTCGGAGGAGTGTGATGTGAAGACATTATGTCAGACAAATGGACGTCGTCTCACCCATGTTAGGGATGGGGGTGGCATACTATACATAGATCGGCAAATTTGGATTACCGTGCTATCATCTAACCCAAACATGCAAACATCAGTGCCCGAGTATTCGAATTCCAGTCCTACTCGTGCTGGATAGAGTCGTGCTTGCAGCATGCACGATTGCTGACTATTCATGACTGAACCTGCAGCATACGCATCCGTAAGGAGTAAAAGGCGTGGAGATCAGACAGGTATTGCAGCACACAACTCACTAAGGCTTCAAACTGTGCCTGGCAGATCAGAGGAACATGATAAGCAGAAGAATGAACTGATGGACTAAGTGGAGCTGCAGCTATGTGTCGTGTGCCATTGTAACGAGGTGATTCAAAAGTCACCGATGGACCAAATGGACCTGCGGGCTGCTATTATCAATGCTACCGAATTTGAGATCGTTGGAACGTGCTTCATGCAAACCCTGTTGTTCAGATCAATGGTGTGTGTGCGTGTGCATGTGCGTGTGTGCGTGTGCATGTGTGTGTGTGTGTGTGTGTGTGTGTGTGTGTGTGTGTGTGTGTGTGTGCGTGCGTGCGTGCGTGCGTGCGTGCACTCATGTGCACATACGTGCTTGCGCGTGTTTTTGGTTGGCTGGTTCACCACAATCACTCTCAAGCCAAACCTCGTGCTCACTCTCAGCCGAGCCTGCGCTCACTGCATGCACGACCTGCCTCTGCTGCATTGCACCAAACAGCTGTGTGCATTCCTTGGAGGAAATAACTACAACGTGTGGACTCACAGAAGAACAAAGCCGACAGCAGCGCGTTGCAGGTTCAGCAGAAGCATGTCCAAATAGAGAGTGGGAAAGGGGATGATGACTCACTGTATTCGCATCACGTGAACAGTGCGCTCGCCTTTCCTTAGGATGACGGAAGGGAACTTGGGCTCATTGACCTGCAACAGGGGCAGTGAACATGGTTCATCTTTTGAGTCGCCACAAATAACGTGGCGCATGCAGGCATTCGTAACTGCAATCTAGAAGTGGGTGTGGGTGTGTCTACAATTTGAGTGGCCATGCAGGAACAAAGAGACCAGGAAGGGGAGGGTGCAGTGAAACCAATTGTACAACAAAGGCTGACGTGGAGAGGAGACGCGTGAAGACCAAACGTGTCCATATTCAGTGGCGGCAGCAGTGGCTGTTACTGCTGACGTGTCCAGAAACAATGAACGTACGTACCGCATTCGGGAAGCCCTGGAAAGAAATGCAAGAAGGAGACACAATGGTAAGGAGTGGTAGAGAGACGTTTAGAATGGTAAGGAGACACAATGATTGAAATACAGCATTGTCATGCTCGTAGGACGAGGGAAAAGATTCCGGGAAGCGAATAGAGATGAGATGAACGCTTTATTTAAAGAAAAACAGCATTTGAAAAGAGCCAACCTGTGTTTCAAGACAGAAGCCTGCGTGCTGCTGATAAGCTGTGCCTCCCTTCCCTGTCACCAGTGCAAGACAAGCCATGCAATGCAATGCAATGTTATGTCAGAAAGGAAACGCCTGGATAGACAATCATGAAGGCCATACGATGCTCTGATAGTCACACGCGCATGCTATCAGGGAGTCAGGGTGATAATCCACTGCGGAAAGTGTTCGCCCCACCTTTGAATGAACCATCCAGGAAGTTGCCTGTGTAGAACTGCATGGCAGGGGCATTAGTGGACAGAGTCATGACGATGCCTGTTTCCGGGTGCCGCACTCGGGCAGCCAAAAACAATTTCTCCCCTGCGACCACCGCCCCTGTGGCTTCATCTGCTGCTCCTCTCCCCAATTCGCAACCCTCTTTCGTCGCCCCATCCCCCAATGCTGCTTCCACTCCGTCCGTTCCTTGAGTTCCTGCACTTCCTGGCCCCCCAGCCGCCACATCTCCACTCCACGTGTGTGTGCTGTGTAGCACGTAGTTGTGATCGTACCCGCCTGCCACGTCAGCCATGCGTGCGCCAATGGGGAACTCCCTTGAGAGGAAGTCAAACGGGGTGTCCACTACCTGTGATGGTGGTTGGAGCGATTGTGTTGGGAAGAAAAGCAGCGGCAGATGCATCAGAAGGTGGGGAGGTAAAGCGCTTCTTAGAGGCTCCCAAAAATGTCAAAATCTGAGAGGTGCTTCAATATTTTCCAAAAAAATCTTCTAGACAAACTGGTGGCGTGTAGAGTAACACCCCCAGAGAATTCTTCAGAGGATTATGAATGGGTGACACCCTGGACCTAGGTGACTTTTGAGTCGACTCAAAAGTCATTCTTCAGAGGATTATGAATGGGTGACACCCTGGACCTAGCAACGAGTGATGGTACCAGAGAAGGCGTACCGGCAGGATTTCACCCGTGGGGATGTGGTTGGCATTGATTGGCGTGTAGTGGGAGGCGTTGACTCGCACAATGTGGTCGTGCACTGTTCCGCTGGCATGGCCGCCCAGGTTCCAGTACCTAGAAGCATAGGGAGAGAAGTGTGAGCAGGGAAGGGGGTGTGGGAGGGGGGATGGGGAGATGGCGGAATGGGAGGGGTCATGGGTGGGGAGGACGATGTGGATGGAGAATGGAGAGGCGGAGAGGTTAAAGTTGACAAGCTATGGAAGCAAGAACAATGGAAACGGATTAGTACGTGATGTGCCATACAACAAGATAGCTTTATCGCCAGCACACGCCGCCGTGACAACCATCCATTGACTGTCTAAACTGCAGCTCACCCCTAGCATTTGGCGCATCACATGTGATGTGGTCCAATCATACACATGATTGCATTAATTGTGCCTAACACGGTACAGGCAGAATTGATGCAACCATACACGCACATGTGATGCGCCATACGAGGCGTGCGCTTGTCAACAGTATGTGCCACCACGGCCATCACCATGCCACCCTACCATGTGACTATCAATCAATGCCATACATGCACCCACACACGCACATGTGATGTGCCATGCTGACAGGCGTATCCCTGTCATGTCATGTCGACAGCATGGGCCACCATCCCCACAACCATCTCCCCATCGCCCTCCAGTATCCAACCCACCCTTCCAGTGCAATACAGTTCCTTCCATGCACTCACACACACGCACATGTGATGTGCCATGCTGACGGGCGTGTCCCTGTCAACAGCACGTGCTGCCATGGCCACCACCATCTCCCCATCGCCCACCAGCCTGTACGTCACCCGCACCTCCACCCTCCCTGGAAACCCCTCCTCCCCGTCCCCACTCGTCAGTGCCAGATTCAACTCCGTGCTGCTGCCTGGTGCTCCTCCCTCCTCTGCTGATGCGGATGCTGATGCTGCCGATGATTCAGCGGATCCTATTTCGTCGCATTCATCCTTGCCCACCACATGCCAAATTCGCTTGTCGAATCCCACCTTGCCACCTGTCAGCAGAAACATTACTTGAGGTTGCTGGAAACACACAGCACACCGCAACGAACTCACTGTGAGGCCCAAGTGTTTGTTTCTTTTGTCTTTCACCATTGTCAGACCGCAAATAGCAAATCATGAGTACAAATCCATCCCAAGCTCTAGTGTGTACATGCATGCTCACACACACGACGTTCTTCGCTCTCACCCCACCATGCAGAGTGTTGGGGCGAGGGTTATCGTTGGCCGTCAGATGGTGGACCTGACCGTCCAGATTGAATTGAGCTCCTGCAATGCGATTGGCCACTCGGCCCACCACACAGCCGAAGTACGGGGATGTGCCATCCTGCACCACGGCGTACCGTAGCATGTCAATGTAGCAAAGGAGAAAAAGAAGATAAATTAACCTATTAAAGAAATTGCTGGTTGAAGGATTCTTCCCATTTTCTTTTTGTTTGTTTTGTTTGAAGACAGGGCGATACGCAAAACGGACACTGGCGAACACAACACTCTAGGAAACCAAGAACATGACGTACCACTAGCTAAAGCTTCAATAGACGTGTGCATGCCCTACCTTTTTCATATCCGCCACTGATATGACACCTGTATTGTACGGTCCTGCTACCGTTGAATGTACAGTGGGGAAAATACTCGTACCTGGTATGGCTGAGCGGTGTCAAAACCAAGAACTATGTCACGCAGCTGACCTGATGGAGGGTGGGATAGAGAATGAGAGACGTACACGCCAATAGGAATGAGGGAATGTCAACGGTGGAGGAAAGGGAAAGGCAGAGGAAAGACGCTACACGGCAAGAGAGAGTGAAGTGTGGTCGACGATAGCTTCAGCAGTAACCACCAGGGATCAGAGGGAGATTCCCGATGAAAGGAAGCGAATTGTAGTAAAGGATTGGAGGTTAGATGCCTGAAAAAAAAATGTAACAAAAGGGAAGGCGGGGGAGGAAGGGGCGTGGAGGGATGGCGAGCCGCGTGCATGTGAAACGGTAAGGCTCGTGACAGATTTTGAGGCGCCTGAAAATAACACATAGAGGCTTACCGCGTGCATCGGAGACGGTAAGGCTCGTGACAGTGGCGCCAAGGTTGGTGATGGTCGCCGTGAGGCCTCCTCGCTGCAGCTTGAAGAGCCTCACTTCGGGGTCCGGCGAAAATGCTGGCGATGAAATGTCGCTCGCCATGGCGACCGCGCGAATGTCAGAACGATGAACGCGACGAAGATATTGTCGGTTTCAGCAAGGTGAAGGAAGAATGGAATGGAGGGAGGTTGATACTGGATTGAATTTGACGAAGCCACAACTTTGTGTAGGAGGATATTGTACGCGTTAGTGCTGAAATAAGTTTCTCCTTACGAAGTGAAATCTGCTAATATGGCAGTGCACTCTGGAGAAATACAGTCCGACTCGCCTCGCCTGATAAATGGTACAATTTGACTGAAGAGATAGTGTTATGTGTAGGGCCGCGTCACAGTAACGATTCCCGCGCAAATGCAAACTGACAGGAAATCCCAAGGCGACGAACACTGTTCGCTCAACCCCCATTCGCTGCAGCATTTCTCAACTTCGTGTGAGCAACCTCTTCCGAATCTTCACCACTCTTTAATACCTCTGAACCGAAGAAGAAGGTTTCTAGACCCCATGGTATTCCCTCAATCCCTTGTACGTCAACAGCAGCAGACAGGCACGACTTTTCCACGACCAGTCGCTGATCATCCTTGATTCCTGTCTGTCGATCCATTCCTGTTCTCTAAGCACCACTAATCGTTAGAATCGCCGCGGATCGTCATGCGTCCCGAGCTGTTGTGACTACGCCGCGTCCATACAGAGTCAAGGAATGTTGCCTGCGCGAAACAGTGGGACGTTGTTTTAGGAGAAACAAGTGAACTGTATAATCTGATCTGAACCATTGAATGAAATGGTGGCATCAGGTCCAATACGGTTCTGATCCAGCAACGCCGGCATGTTTTGAGAGCCCTAATCTAGGCACTAGCAGTTTTTGTCCGCATTCACGGCCATGCACCTACGGAAAGCCGCAGGTGACCTTTGAGACGTCTCAAAAGGCATGTAACTAAGGTCTTAACAGTTCTGTCGATCATGACGGTCATGCATCTACCGAAGACCACAGGTGGCTTCGCGCTTCCGCACTCGCCTCCCCGCCATTCGCGCCGCGCGTTGCTCCGCCATCGGCGGCAGCGATGCATGGTTCTGCTGGTGGTCGCGTGCGTGCTCGTCGTTATGCTGCTCTTCGTCTCGCTCCACCTGCCGTCAGTAGATTCGCTCCTGCCACGTGGCAAGCAGGTAATGGGCGATATTATACGACAGAATCGTTGTCAGGGAGTTTTCTAAGATAATCCAATGAGCGATCGTCATTGCTTGTAGAGCGAATTCGGATTAAGCCGAGTTGGAATGGACGAGGAATAGCACCACGTATTTGGCACAAACGCTTCTTGAGATACTAGTACGTTTTACCTAGGAGACTCTAGCGTGCGAAGGAGTCAATTCACTCAAGCGTAACCCCTCTTGACAGAGTTGACAGAATTCGTTTACGTCTCCCTTCTCCGTCCCGCCGGATCGAATCGCAGGCTACTCCTTCGCCCGTGGCCCCTCAATCCGCGCAGAAATCTAGCAGCGTCGCAAACAACGGCTCACAGGTACCGCTGCTACGATCCGTCTCCCTCCTGTCCGTCCGATTCAATCGTTCAACACCCGCAATCCTGCATCCAATCCGTCTTCCTCTGCTGCTCCCAACGCCCCATTCCTGCGCTTCCGCTTCCCCTTTCCCCTTCCCTCCACACCCTCTACCCGTCCACCTTTCCCCCTTCCCCTTTCCCTTCTGCCAGCCCTCCATCCGCGTGGCCCTCGCCACTCTCCGCGCCGATCCGACGTGGCAGCAGCTGCTGGATCCCGACTCCGCGGTGCGCCAGCTCAGCGACCAGATCAGCCTGGGGAAGGCGTATCTGACACGCGCGCGGGATGCGGGGGAGAGGGAGTTCGGCGATGAGATGGAGAGGGGCGTGCGCGCCGCAGAGGCGTTCCTTGCTCGCTCCATTGCTATCCCCAGGTGCGTTGTTGGTTGGCTTTTGAGACGTCTCAAAAGTCGCACAAGATGCGGGGGAGAGGGAGTAGAGGCGTGCGAACCGCAGAGGCATTCCTTGCTCGCTCCATCGCTATCCCCAGGTGCTGCAATCTTGGCTCACTCGTCTTTATCACTGCTCTCGTCCCTACTATCGTTATTCCTGCCTCAGTCCCAACCCTACCCTGCTCCTCTCTTCGTGCCCACCACCTCATCCTCCTCGACCTCCATCCTCTTCCCGCTATCCCAGTCGAGCGGTTCAAAAGATGCAAGCGCATGCCGCAAGGCATAGTGCTTCAGTGAGCCCTATGCTCTCAATGGAGCATAGAGCTGACTCATGATACGCATCTCCCTCTCTTACCGTCCTCCGGCTCTTGCCACCAGCCAAGCAGTGTACAAGCAGGAGGCGCGGGCGCACATAGCAAACATGAGCGCTCTCATTCTTCAGGCCAAGGAGATGCACTATGACATGTGAGTGGGGCGGTGGCTGTGGGTGTGACATGTGAGTGTGACATGTGAGTGTGACGTGTGAGTGTGACGTGTGAGTGTGACATGTGAGTGTGACATGTGAGTGTGACATGTGAGTGTGACATGTGAGTGTGACATGTGAGTGTGACATGTGAGTGTGACATGTGAGTGTGACATGTGAGTGTGACGTGTGAGTGTGACATGTGTGTGACATGTGAGTGTGACATGTGAGTGTGACATGTGAGTGTAACATGTGAGTGTGACGTGTGAGTATGATATGTGAGTGTGACATGTGAGTGTGACATGTGAGTGTGACACGTGTGGGATGTGAGTGGGGCGCTATGAGTTTTGAGTGTGGCATGTGAATGGGGCGGTATGACATGAGTGTGGCATGTGAATGGGGCGGTAGTGTGGCATGTGTGTGCAGTGATATGGCATGTGAGTGGGGTAGTGAATGAGATTCCCTGTTTTTTAACTTCAAATTGAAATTGCCTTTTTAGCAATGTCTTAAAGTGCAAGAGTGTACTTTCCTATTTCAAGTCGTCTCAACACTCAACATCCTTATGTCCTCCACGCGCTGTCACACTGTTCAGAGCGGCGGCAATGGCAGCGCTGAAGGAGAAAGTGGCAAAGGCAGAAGAGAAGGCCTCTAAGGCATCCGCTCAGGCCACTCTCGCCTCTCAGGTGCGCTCTGGTTACCTCCTGGTTGGGATCGATTCTTGAGTAGTGTCCACGGCTCTGCTCCTGTGACCTGCCTAGTTTTCTGCCTATCTTACAGGCACCATGTGTAAACTCACTGCTCTTCACCGCACTGCACCCCTCCGTCCCCCCTCCAGGTGGTATCAGAGTCGATGCCCAAGCCCATGACGTGCCTGTACATGCGGCTGGCCAGGGAGTGGGCTCTGCAGCACGCCTCCACTGCACATGGAGGGATGGAGGCGGACACTCACCCCTTTCAAATACACCACGGCCTGGTGGGTTACACGGAGGGTTGCACTTACCGCCCTGCACCTTGGAGCTGAACAAACCATTATTTCTTTTTTTGCTCTTAATAGGTGCTGTATCTGGGACTGCTGCACCTAGCGGCGCTACAACTAGCAGTACCGCACCTAGCAGTACCGCACCTAGCAGTACCCCACCTAGCAGTGCCATACCTAGCAGTACCGCACCTAGCAGTACCGCACCTAGCAGTGCCACACCTAGCCGTGCCGCACCTAGCAGCGCCCGCCTGGTGGACACCTCGCTGCAGCACGTGTGTGTCTTCAGTGACAACGTGCTGGCCGTGTCTGCTGCCCTCAGGTTATCAAATCCTCAACCAGCCCTCGCTCCCTTCTCCCAGCCCCCAGGCACGCCCAACAGCTCCCGTCTGGTGGACGCCTCGTTGCAGCACGCGTGCATTTTCAGTGACAACGTGCTGACCGTGTCCGCTGCCCTCAGTCAGGATACCAAATCAACACCCCACCGCCCTCTCTCCCCTTTCTTCTCCCAGCCCCCGGGCACGCCCAACAACTCTCGCCTGGTGGATGCCTCGTTGCAGCATTTGTGCATCTTCAGTGACAACGTGCTGGCCGTGTCTGCTGCGCTCAACTCCACTGTCCTCTCCTCCCACAACCCCTCACGGCTCGTCTTCCACATCGTCACCGACGCCACCACCTTCCCTGCCTTCGTGGTGAGTCTGCCTCTGCTACGCTGGGGATATGCGTTTGTGGGTGGTGTGGTGCGTCAACGCGAGTGACATGCTCTGGTGCTGATTCAACTCCCGCTGTCTTGGCTCCTTAACTCCACTGTGCTCTCCTCTCCTCCCACGACCCCTCACGGCTGATCTTCCACATCGTCACCAGCGCCACCACCTCATTTCCTTCCTACGTGGTGAGACTGCTTCTGCTACACCGGGGATATTGGCTTATGGGTTGTTCGGTGTGTTAGTGCGAGTGGCGTGCTCTGTTGCTGGTTTAGCTCCAGCATGCTGGCCTGGGCGTGTCTGCTGCTCTCAACTCCACTGTTCTCTCTTCTTACATCCCCTTCCGCCTGCGCTTCCACGTCGTCACCGACGCCACCTCCTTCCCTGCCTTCGTGGTAAGAAGAGATCATCATCAGGGTGTGCGCTCGCTCATGGGTGGTGCTTAGTTTAGGTTGACTTGTTTTGATACGTCACCCCTCTCGCCTGGTCACGCCATCACCAACGTGACGCCACCTTCTTTCCTGCCTTCCTGGTGACCCTTCCTTTCAGGGGGGTGTGCGCGCTCGAGTCGAGGATGTGCTGTTGGTTGGTGTGAGTGTCTCGACGCCCTTCTCCATCAGGAGGGCTTGCCCGGTGTTCTTGAAATTATAATGTAACAACACCCTTTCCTTCCCACCCCCCTTCCAGGTGTGGTTCTCCCGCCACCCACCCGGCTTGGCATCACTAGAGGTGCGGCGGGTGGAGGGCGAGAGCGGGTGGCTGAACGCGTCCTTTGCGCCCGTGCTGCGACAGATGCAGGACGCTGCTGCCAAGAGCTTCTACTTCTCCGCTGCTGCTGCTGTGAGTGCAAGGGGAGAGCTGGGTGGGAGGGGGGGAAGTGGGGAGGAGGGGGAGGGTAAGGTGGAGAGAAGTGAGCTGTGTTGTGGGCGTGGGAGGGGATGTGGGCGCTGGAGGTGCTGTGGCAGATGCAGGATATCAACGCCTAAGAGCTTCTATTTCTCCGCTGCTGCTGCTGCTGTGAGTGCAGGGGAAGAGGGCAGTCAAGGGGGAGGGCTTGAGGATAGGAGGAGGGGGGGTGTGTTAGGTGCGAGAGATTTGAGGGTGCTATGGCAGATGCAGGATGCCAGTGCCAAGAGCTTCTAATTCTCCGCTGCTGCTGCCGTGAGTCTCCTGGGTGAAGTCGGAAGAGGAGAGACGGAGTGGGGAGTGGGGAGGGGATGGGAGTGGGCTGTGGTTATGAGTGGTGAGGATGAGCTTCTTTTTGTATGCAGCCCCTGTTGTGAGTCAAGTAGTTGAAGGGGGGTGCGGGGTTTCACAGGGGGTGATGGGGGTTTTAAGATGGTAAGCACCGCTGCCACCATCACCCTTCTTCATCATGGACCATAGGCCTATCAATGGTCCATGTTGAAGAAGGCTCTATCACCCAAATAACTGTAGCTCAATCTCCCCCACGCATATGTGTGCACATTTTCACACACACTCACAGCCCAACCCCTCTCCCTCACACACACACACTCACCTCCCTATTGATTGAACCACCTGCGCTTGCCTCCCCTTCTCTCATGTCCCCTCTTCCCCACACAACCCCCCCACGCACACACAGGGCGAGGCCAGCGACCCCATCAAGTTCCGCAACCCCAAGTACATGTCACTGCTCAACCACCTGCGCCCCTAACCACCCATACGCACCCACCCACTCAAGCAAAGCCCGTCTTTCCCACACACACCCTCCCAACTCCAACAGGGCGAGGGCAGCAGCGACCCGATCAAGTTCCGCAACCCCAAGTACATGTCGCTGCTGAACCACCTGCGCTTCTACCTGCCGCTCCTCTTCCCCGCGCTGCACCGCATCCTCTTCCTCGACGACGACGTCATCGTGCAGCGCGACCTCTCTGCTCTTTATTCCCTCCACATGAACGGGTGCGTGCGTCTAGCCCTTGCCTGCACTCCTTCTGCACTACCTGCCGCTCCTCTTCACCGCGCTGCACCGCATCCTCTTCCTGGACGATGATGTCATTGTTCAGCAGGACCTCTCTGCTCTCTTCTCCCTCAATATGAACGGGTGGGTGCTGTCCATATGTTTCTCCAATTGGCACTCGTGATACTGTCTTCTGGTGCTCGCAGCGGCACTCCCTTCTCTCCTCTTCTCCTCTTCACCGCGCTGCACCGCATCCTCTTCCTGGACAACGATGTCATTGTTCAGCAGGACCTCTCTGCTCTCTTCTCCCTCAATATGAATGGGTGGGTTCTGGCCTTGCGTGCACTGCACTGTTTCTGCCCTCTTCTCTCGCTCCTCTTTACCGCACTGCACCGCATCCTCTTCCTCGACGACGACATCATTGTGCAATGAGACCTCTCCGCCCTCGTCTCTCTCAGCATGGACGTACTCATGTTGATGGGTGTGTCTCTTGCATGTGCAAGCTCATATTTAAGGGTTGCTGTCATGAAGTATCTAACCCTATATCCTTGGTGCCAGTAACTGCTGTCTGGTCCGAACTTGCCTACCCCCCTCCTATCAGTGCTGCCCACAATGCAGTGGAGACATGGAAGGAACTCTTTCACCGCTGCCTCAACTTCACACGGCTCTCTGCCTCAACACTCTAGTGTAGTGTCTGATCCTTACAAATGCTCTTGGCTTGTGCGAATTTCTCTCCCCCCCCCCCCCCCCCCGTGCGTCCTCCCATCAGCGCCGTGAACGGAGCAGTGGAGACGTGCAAGGGATCATTCCACTGCTTCCACCGGTACCTCAGCTTCACTGCCACTCAGCTCAAGCTTCAAACCTTACCACTACTCTCGGCTCCTGCTAACTCCCGTCCTCCCCTTCCCATCAGTGCCGTCAATGGAGCAGTGGAGACGTGCAAGGGGTCCTTTCACCGCTTCCACCGCTACCTCAACTTCTCAGACACGCGGCTGAGAGGGCGCTTTGACCCTGAGGGGTGTGCGTGGGCGTATGGCATGAATGTGTTCGACCTGGACGGGTGGCGACAGGCCAATGTGACTGCCACGTACCACTACTGGCAGGAGCAGGTGAGAGAACGCACTCTGAGGGGATGTGTAGGCTGGCGAACACTGCTCTGTGTGTGTTGTTCACATTGCATCATCGTTTTTACTTGTCTCGTTCCTCAAGCTGAGGTAGCCTGTAATGAGTATGGCATGACTGAGGGGTGTGCATGGGCGTATGGCATGACTGAGGGGTGTGCATGGGCGTATGGCATGACTGAGGGGTGTGCATGGGCGTATGGCATGACTGAGGGGTGGGCATGGGCGTATGGGATGACTGAGGGGTGTGCATGGGCGTATGGCATGACTGAGGGGTGTGCATGGGCGTATGGCATGACTGAGGGGTGTGCATGGGCGTATGGCATGACTGAGGGGTGTGCATGGGCGTATGGCATGACTGAGGGGTGTGCATGGGCGTATGGCATGAACCTGTTCGATCTGGGCGGATGGCGGCAGGCCAATTTGACTGCCACGTACCACTACTGGCAGGAGCAGGTGAGAGTACGTTCTCTTGGGGAAGCTGTCGAAATTTGTCTTGTTACTGTTCCCCATGTTGCATCATTGGTTTTGCCTCATCCTGCTCTTCCAGCAAAGCTAGCTGTGGCAGGAGCAGGTGAGGGGGAGGTGACAGAACGGGCACATAAAGCTATGTGGTGGTAGCTGTTAAGGCATATGGCATATAACCCCACAGCATGAACTTGTGCCTTTTGTCTGCTGGATACCCTCAAGTGTCTCTCCGTCTTTTTCCATTTTCTTTCTTTCTTTCTTTCTTATGGTTTGGTCCGCTTGCCATTTGCTTGCAGAACGTTGACCATTCATTATGGAAGCTAGGAACGCTACCACCTGGCTTGCTGGCCTTCAATGGGCTCACACATGCCATTGATCCATCATGGCATGTCCTGGGACTTGGCTACAATCCCCACTTGGACATGACAGCTATTTCCAAGGCTGCAGTTATACACTGGAATGGTAACCAGAAGCCATGGCTGAAGATTGCCTTGCCGAACTATCGTAGCCTCTGGACTAAGTACGTCAATTTTGATGACCCGTGGTTTTCAGAATGCGGTGTAACATGATGTAGCATCTATACTGGCATCTCTCGTCTTGTGTATGCTGCCTCAACACTGTGAACGGTTCCGGTAACGCGTGTGCTTGTAATGAGGATTTCATGGTGCCCGTGGTTTGACCAATCCAACCCAAATGGGAATGCTGCTCTAACACCAAAAGCACCCTTGAAAAGTCCCGTACATTGCGGCTGGCCTGATTGTTAGGACATCGTGCGGTTCGGCTGACAAAACCAGTCCCGCCGCGCGCCAACCTTCGATCGAGCGACACGTCCGAACTGAAGCAACGGACGCCGCGGCGCGCATTCCGAATTTTCCACTGACAAGCCGCCAGGGCTGGGCAAACGTGCACTGGATTTTAGGATTGCCTGTACACCCTGTTTCTCACTACTATGAACTGTGCCGAACTGGTGGAAAACCTAGTTACCTTCGATTTGTCTGATTGAACCATACTGAGACTTAATCTAACCACTGTTAACCGTGCTTTTCCCATCTTGACTTCACTAAAACCGGATTCACAATGGCGAGAAAGAGGGTGTAGTGAGAGATCGTGCATGTGGAGAACTACAGACTCAGAGCTGTCTTGCATAGTAGCACCGTACTAATAACTCTCGAAACCGAACGTAACGGATTTCATTGAGCTTCCGTCAACACTCTTCCCATTCAGTATGAACCAGATGAGGACAACCTTCCCATAGAACCACTACGTCTTTGGCAAATATCCGTTGGCTTTGCGCCACATTCGCCCATTGACTTTCCGAAGCTTCTTCTTCGCTTTGCAATCATCCCCCTTTGCACGAGATCAACGAGGGTTGAGCTATCCTTGCAATCTGTGACTTCCGAGTCTTGAACCCGCTGCAAAGTCAAGATATCTGAAGACTTAGATCACTGGTTCTGGCGGTTGCGATTAGGGCTATACATAACATTTCTTGATATCACATTCCCTATTAAGAGAGCTAAACCAGAAAGAAAACGCCGAAGTATACATCTCAGCTTCGTTTCTCGAGAAGTAGTACTACGCCAGGAGATATGGCGGGAAGCCATCCTATGCCGGCCGACGAGGAAGAATTTCACGACGCCATCCACGCAAACGCCATGCTCAACGCGGCGGAGGATTTCAAGCCGTCCGATTACAGCAACATCATCCGGCGGTACTCGCACCTCGGCGCCACGCACCCGAGTAACCCGCTCACCGTCGCGAAAGCCGGCGAGGACGAAAAATCCGCCGGGGGGAAGACGCGCCGATCGCAATCCACGGGCGGAGGGGTGAAGAAGGGCAAGGGGTCGTCTGTGGCATCGACGCTCGGGCGCGCAGCGGCGCGCGTCGGGAGGACGCTGGGCGCAAAGGGCGGGTCGCTGGCCAAGTCAAAGTCCTCCGTGGCGCCCCTTCAGGTGGCTTTAATCGCAGCCGAGTCTAGACCGCAACCTAGCTGAACAGAGATATAGGAGGGGCGACAATAGGAATGGTGCTGCTAGGTCCACAGAAGTTTTATTTTGGAAACTTCTCATTTTACGGAGATAAATGACGCAGATAGCAACAGATTTGAGACGTCTCTATACTAAGCGACGGAGACAGTGCAAAGCAGCTCTTTAAACGTCGACGGTGGATGCCAACGCATTCTCCTTCTGCCATACCTCATTCTGTCTCGTTCTGCCCGTCACAATCTCAATCACCGACTGTTCTCCCGTGCCTGTGCCGCTCTCCCTCCCTCGGCCTCTGCTGGCAGTCCGATGATGAGTTCTCCAAGCAATCCGAGCAGCCGTCGATGCCCATCGTGCTGCAGCCCTTCATGGGATCGTACGGTTCAGAGGTAACGCGGGCTGCGTGTGAGCATGCATTGCATTTTGTCTTCATAATGTCCATTGACTCCATTTATTTATTTCTCTTGTACTTGCGCTCTGCATTCTCTTATCACGCATTCTCCCGTACTTATCACGCATTCTCCCGTACTTTTTCGGACTCCGATATCTGTCTTCGTTGTTGCATCTGTGACCCGCCGACTGCCCTCTTTCCGCTCGTGTGTTTCGTACTAGCTCTCTGTTCGTTCCAGTCCCGCGCATTCCTCTCTGAACCCACTCCCGTCCTTATTGGATTCACTTATGAGAATTCGCAAAAGTTTCTCAACCCTGTCCTGTCAATCTTCCCTCCTGTGCTCCACCATGTGACCTGCCGAACCTGATTTTCCTGTCAACGCCCAACCTCCTCCTTCAATCGCTTCGTGCCGAACCTCAACAGAAGCAATCAGAAGTGGTGAGTCAAGCCCGATGCTTTCGCTCGCCAATTCCCGAGTCGACTCGAAAAGCGAATCTTGTCTTCCGATGCTTCTGGTCGCCAACGCGATGCTCATTCCATTCCGACATGGCATGTCGTGCGATCGTCCCCGTTTTACGCGCTGACAGCTTGTCTGTCCATCCAACGGCGCGTTCGTGCAGACGAAGGCGCTGCAGGAGGAGAATCGACGGCTGCGGGAGAGGATCGCGATGCTGGAAGCCGTTCACGCAGAGGTGCGCGGAAAGGAGGTCGGGGGGAGGGGGGGGGGGGGAGGGGGGTATGGGTGGGGACATAGGGGAGGACGTGGGGAAGAGTAGAAATGCAAGGTAACGGGGGTTGAGAAAGAGTAGCGGCATAGTGGGAGCATAGAGGGAGTCCTGAGTGCAAGTGCATGCAGGAGAGTCCTTACAAGAAGGGGAATGCAATAATACTCCTGGTTAAACGCGCCAACCTACGCGTTTATTCGTGTTCGAGAGAGAAGGGAGTGCGGTGAAGGCCTACCTGTGGAGCCCCCGTCTCGTCCCTCCTGTCGTCCGTTTCAATATTCTCGCTATCTTTCATCCACCTCACCGCGCGTTCACGTATCTCGTTTCCCCTCCATTCTCTCGCCTATACGTCCTCCACGCTTGGTTCCCCGTAACTCTTCTCCGTCCCTTTCCTCCTTACCGCCACGACTTGACGCGCCGTCACTTATCCCGTCCCCTCCTTTTCCTTCCGTGATCCCCGTCGCACGTGTCGCACGTGTCGCAGGAGGCGGACGACAGCGACGACTTGGCGCGCCATCGCGTGCGAATGCTCAAGTCGTCAAACCTGCAGCTAGAGCACCAGGTGAGCTCATGCTCAAGTCAGCCATATATTGCGTGTATTGCTAATACCGCCTTTACGCATCGGTAATGCCGCTTCGAGAGCTCTGCATTTTTGAGAGGTGATGTCGGTCATTTTAACAGCTGCATTTCCGTCGAGGCAACGTCGCTGGTTCTCGCAACCCACGCCACGTGTCTCCCCGTCCGTCCCCATCGTTCCCCTCCGCAACCAGCCTGCTGAGCGCCATGAACACAAGTTCCCCCCCTCCATCCTATTTCCGCCTAGCCCAATTTATCCGCCTCCACCTTTTATCCGCTCACGGCGAAGGCCATTCGCAACGAGCTGCTGAGCGCCGTAGACCATCTTCACCCCCCTTTTCCCTGCGCTTCCCCTCCCCCTTACCCCCGCGTACCCCCTCCCCCTCCCCTCCACAGCTACTAGCCTCCGAGTCCGCGTCGCTCACCGCCAAGGCGATCCGCAACGAGCTGCTGAGCGCAATGGACCATCTTCACCGCACCGTCGGCGCGCTGCACGTGCGCGCGGGGGAGGACGAGGCGGAAGGCGAGCAGGCGGAAGCGGAAGCCGCGGAGGGCGCGGGCGGGACGGAGATGGGGAACTCGCACGCGGGGACTCTGGACCAGACACTGCTGCCAGCTGCTGCTATTTTATTGGACGACGCGCAGCACGCCGCGGCGCAGGAGAAGGAGAGCGCAAGCGCAGCCGCGGTGGCGGTGGCGAAGGGGGTGAGCAAGGTCGGCGCGGCACAGCAGCCGCTGACGCGGCGGAACTCGTTCGGGGGACGCGGCTCCGCCGCCCTCGCCTCCGCCGCCCGCCCCAGCACTCCCACCAGCCGCGGCACCTCGTCGTTCGCTAGCGGCTCGCCACGTGCCACGACCCCGCGCGCAACGTCCTCCGCCGGAAAGGGGAGCGCGTCGCCCACGGTGGGCGCACGGCGCGGTGGTGCGACGGTGGGCGCGGCGGGCAGCGCTGGGAAGGGAAAGACTGGTGGCGGAAGCTTCAATGCGCGCGGGTGGGGAGTCGGCCCGGGGAAGCGGAACGGCGCGAACAATAAAACTGCGGAAAAAAAGACCGCCGCATCTGGCGCCGCGAATGACGGAGACGGCGGCATGGATTTGACCTCTGCGGGAAGCCGCAGCGCGAGCATGAAAGACGGGCCGCTGGTGCTAGACCCCTCTATAGTAACATCTTCTGCTGTCTCCACACCTATGGGCACGCCGCGCGCGGGGAGCACTCCCGCGGGGAGCCCGTTCGCCGCGTCGGCCGCGGCAGCCACTCCCGCGCCGACACTTGGCAGCCTGCTGGCGGCGTCGGGACAGGTGGCGATCGCAAAGGAAAAGCTCGAGGAGCTCGCGATGTGGAGCAAAGAAGCGCGCGAAAAGGTTCTGATGCTGCTGCCCGCGCCGGGCGGAAAGATCGGCGAACTGCCCGCGGAGGAAGGCGCGGGCAAGGCGGAGGACGCGGAAGCAGGGGGAGGAGCCGGCGGAGCGGAGAAGACAAGCATGAAGGCGATGGACGCGCCGGAGCTGCCGTGCGCGGGGAATCGCTTTATGGCGACCAATGAGGACGGCGACCCCGTCGCGGGAATCGCGGCGAACCTCTGCCGCTCCATCGAGGGTGCGCGCGCCGCCCTCCCCACACACCCACCCAGTTTCCCCTACCCGTTTCTCTCTCCCCTCTATCTGGCTCCCTCTCGCTTCCTCCCCTCATGTTTCCAGTTCCACCGTTTGTCAACGCTTTCCCCTCGCTTCCTCCCCCAGGGTCCGCGCCGCTCCTGGAGTACGCGCGCGTGCACGAGTTGGAGGGGCGGCTGGCGGACCTGCACCCGCGCCTGCTCGCGCTCTCGTCGCTCCTCGATAATGTCGTCTTCCCCAGCCTGCCCGCCGAGGTGCAATGAATGGATACCTTCAAAATTTCTACGCAGTGTAACCATTCTACACCAAGGAAGGATTGTCTGAAATGTTTTATTTTTGCAACCAACCATCCGCAGTGTATCCACTCTACGCCCTTTTGCTTGCTGAACTCGACCTCCCCCACACTCTCCCTGGCACTCTTCTCTCTGCTTCCCCTCCTCCCTCTCTCTACCCTCTCTATCTGCTGCCCCTCTCTCCTGTCTGCTGCACCTGTCCCTTCTCCCTTGTCCCTCAACTCTCTTCCCTACGTTGTCCCTTCCCCATTGAATTCTCACCCTCTGCCGCTTCTCCTCCCGCTCTCTGCCGCCTGCAGACGTCCAGCGCAGTGCTGCAGGAGATCCGTGTCGCCATCGTTGACGTGTACGACACGACGCGCGCGCTCTCCGAGTTGGCGGCGCTCGTGCCAGCTGGTGCGCAGCTATTCGGCGTGGGGACCGGGGAGAGCCTGATGCTGGCAGCAGCAGCAGCCAGGGCGGAGGAGGGAGGAGGAGGAGGAGGGGGAGAGGGAGAGATGATGGAGGTGCAGCAGAGGCTGGAGTGGGAGAGGGAGAGGAGGAGGAGGGAGGGAGTGAGTGTGGCAGACCTCCCTTCTGTGGAACAGCTGCTGACAGCAGGCCTTGCTGGGATCGTGGGAGAGGGGGGAGGGATGGGGGGAGGAGGGGAGGGGGAGGTGCAGGCGCGGGTGGCGGAGGTGGTGGGGAGGTGCCGCAAGGTGGAGGCGCTGTGGCGGGCGGAGATGTCGGGGCTGCAGGAGGAGATGGGGTTCTACCGCGGCTGCCATGCTGCCCAGGTGCGTGCTGTGCTGTGCTGTGCTGTGCTGTGCTGTGCTGTGCAGTGCTATGCTGTGCTGTGCTGTGCTGTGCAGTGCTGTGCTGTGCTGTGCAGTGCTGTGCTGTGCTGTGCAGTGCTGTGCTGTGCTGTGCAGTTCTGTGCTGTGCTGTGCAGTGCTGTGCCTTGGTGCACACATGTGCAGGGGAACAAAACTGATTGCAAAAGCTGCCGTTCGAGATTTCATCAGCTCGTGGCTGGATGTCTTCTGCGGGTTCTAACATCTCATGTCTACCTCCTCCGTTTTTTCATCTTTCTGCCCTCCCTCCTCCCTCCCTCCTTGTGCCCCTTACGTCTGCTGCTTGTATCTGCCTCTCGATCCCCATCCATGAACGCACAGGCATCGCATGTGAAGCAGATAGCGTCGGCAGCCAAGGACGCGCTGCAGACTGTGCTGGGAGACGCGCATGAGATAGTCTCTGCCGCCGCCACCTCCATCCAAAAGGTGCTGCTGCTGCCGCCGCTTGCTGCTTTGCTTGCTGCCTTGTGGTTTCCCTGCTGCAGCACATCGTACTCTCGCTATAAGCTTTCTGTTGCATCGTACACACGCCTGACCGTCTTGTCTAACCTTGTTTCCGTTTGTACCCTCTTCCCTGCCCTCTCTGTCCTCTGTGCGCCCTCTCTGTCGTCCTTTAACCCGGGATAGCGGCGGTTGCAGATTCTGCTGGCAGTGACCGACTTTGAGAGCGAGCCCACACCCGAAATGATGCAGCAGCTCGCAGTCAAGGTCAAGGTGAGAGTCTCAAGGGGGGTTGCAGGTGCTCTCTACTTGCCCGCTCTGTCTTCCCTTCACCCGAGGCGAGTTGCTGAAATGTCAGTCTGAGAATGAATGAGTTCATTAGGTGAATGAGCGATGATAGAGTTTCTTCCAGGTTGCTTCTCACCACTTGTGACCCTTTTGCCCCCCCTGCCCTTCCCCTCTTGTTCTCTGCACTTGCTCTCGTCAACTCCTCTTTCCAATGCCAGGAGGAGGCAGGCACGCTGAGGCGCTTTGCGGAGCTGCTGCCGCAGGCCTTCTCAGCCGAGGCCAAGGTGGCCGAGGTGCTTGACCCCCTGGAGCGCGAGTTCAAGGAGCGGATGCAGGTGAGAGTGGCACGAAGCGTGCGGAAGAAGGGGGAAAAGAGTGGATGAGTGGGTGTGCGATGGCCGAGGCCAAGGTGGCGGAGGTGTTTGACCCCCTGGAGTGCAAGTTCAAGGAGCGGATGCAGGTGAGGAGAGGGGTGCAGTGCAGCAATTTGGGAACAGGTTTGGTTGGTGGTGTTGTGAATGAATGGGTGTGTGAGAGCCGAGGCCAAGGTGGCAGAGGTGTTTGACCCCCTGGAGCGCGAGTTGCGGAGAGAATGCAGGTGAGGGGGGGGGAGAGAAAGAGAGGTGATGTGAGCGAATGGGTGTGTGAGGTGCAAGGCCTAGGGTGACGGGAGATGCTTGCCTTGTTCCGCTGGAGGTTCATGGAGTGCATGCATGCAGGTGACGAAGGCCCGACGGGTGAGGGGTGAGAAAAGGGGAGGGAAGGTGGAGTGAATGGGTGTGGGGACTGTGGAGGAGGAAGGTGCAGGTTCTTATGTCTTGTATATCCAACACATTGATACTTCGTGCCTACCCACTCTCCCACTCACCCTCTCGTTCAAACTGATTAGCTCTGAATCATGCTCAAATGATTCTCCTGATCTCTGAACTGATTACCTACATGTCTTCCCCGACCGGCAGGCTGTATTTGAGACCCTCCAGGCTCGGCGAGCAGCGCTGGCCCGGCAGCGCAATGAGCTCCACGGGCAGATCAGCGGGCGGTTTGCCAACCAGTCTGGGCAGCAGGGCAAGGGCAAGCTGATGCGGGTCATTTCCCTTCAGCAGTGATTTCAAAATAGGATACTGAGGCAAAAATACACGTAGAATATTGACTTGTTTGGCTTGTCTTTTTTACTGACATTTGTTTCTGCTCTTTAATACCGTCATCGCCAGGATAGAAGACAGTGTCGAATTGAAGACAGGGGGTGTCTTTAATACGGGTGTTTCTTATAGTTGGGTGCTTCCGATTATAAGCCACCTACAAGCGTGTACGACTTAAGACAGTGCCTACTAAACAGTGCTAGGGTTTAGGGTTTCCTTATAAAGGGGGTGGGTGTCTTATAATCGGTTCTTGCATTTAGGGGTGGGGGGGTACATGCATGCATTTATCCAATCTTACTATTTCTACCTAGCCCCCCTCTGTCACGCCCTCATCTGCACTAGTAGATGGTGGCTCCTGCGTCCCCAAGTTTGGCACTCGCCAGGCGTGCCTGGCTGTCTGCACGGGCTCGATCATGCGGTCAGCCTCGGCCGCCGCTCCCCGGTAGTGAGGGGTCTCCTGGTACAGCACCTCCAGGCCGGTGGCCACGGCCACCTCTTTCACGCCCTCCGCCTGCATCTCCTCCTCCTCCTCCTCCTCCTCGGGAGCCTTCCCAAGCAGGCGCGTGTTGTCGCCCGTGGTGCCCCCGAGGCACATGTCTTCGGTGACATCGGTGGTGCTCCTGGCGCGCGGGTGGGACATCACCAGATGGTTCTCGGTCCCATCCAGCTTGCTTGAGATGCCGCAGTGACGGAACGCGTCAATGATCACCTGCCTAGGGACTTGATCCCACGCCTCCGCTATCCACTGCAGCACCACGGGATGCGGGGGTCTCCTCAGGTTCCCTGCGGGTGGGTCACATTCAGAGCAAACGTGCCGTCAGATACCGTACATCAAGAGCTACACTGGCAGGCATTTACTGATCACCGACACTGGACTCACCGTTCTTCGTCTTCAGGTAAAGGCCTTCACGCATGAACCACCTAGCGTAGCGAGCTCGCACCCCGGCCTTGAAACACCGGTCGATGGAAACGTCAAGTGGTTGAATTTGACTGGTGCAACCTGCAGGGATTACAGCCGGAGTGATGCTGTGCGCGCGATAGGCGCGAAGCATGCCCTGGGTGATGTGGCCGCGGTACGAATCCAGAACCAGCATCGCACGCCGTGCGCACTGGCCCCGCTGGGGGTTGAGATGAGGCAGCACCTCCTTCGTCAGCCAAGTCTGCACAGCGGTCTCGTCCATCCAACCGTTGTCCTGTGCTTGGACCACCACTCCTGCCAGGCACATAGGGAGATAGGGGAGTGAGCCAAACAGGGCCCCGGTGGTCTCCCTAAACCCAAATTCGTTTAGCTCACCAGCGGGGACGTCACACCTCGGCACGTTCTTCATTTTGAACCAAACCCACGGCCGCAGCTTCTCCCCGGATGCCGTGCACGCGAGCATCACTGTCAGCCGCGTCTTCTCGTAGCCGGCCGTGCGGATCGGGACCGAGCGCGCACCACGGTGGTCAAGGGTCCTCTCGGCCGGCATTTCAACGAAGAGGGGCGTTTGATCCGCATTGATGATGCAGCTTGGGTCGATGTTGTGCCGCGCCCTGTTGATCCTGACGAACTTCCAAAAAGACTCGCAGTCTTTTGCGCATTCTGCCAAGGCAAAAGAACACACACAAGGATGGGATGAGTCGGGATATGCAAGTTTATATCGTGGTAAGGACAAGGAGTTGACAATGCGCAGTGAATTCACAGCCTAGAACCACTCACCAGCCGACAACCGCTGGCCAGCCTTTGTCTTCACCCGCATGACGAGATTCCAGCGGTCGCGGAAACGTTGGCTCCAGTGGGAGCTCGCGTTCCAGTTCTTCCCGGGGTGGTGCTTCTTCATCCACTCCCGGCTCCACTTCTGCGTGTCCTTGACCGAGATCGCCACCCCATTCGCGCGATGCAGGCAGATGTATCGGTACAGCGCCGCCTCCATGTCGGGGTGGTGTGAGTGGCGGCCCGCCCCATGCATGCGCTTGCGAGAATTCGCAGCGCCCTTGTACATGCCCGCTGCAGCCTGCGCGCTCCAGCGTCTGATGCACGCGATGCTCGCCGAAGACTCGGCCGAGGTCTTCTTGAGGGAGCCGAGCTCCGCGTAGCGACGCGCCCACTTCACCTTTTCGCGCACGGACCAGCTCCGCCTGGTCCGTTTAATCCCGCGACTGCGTGGGGAAGGGGGGCGGGAGTTAGCATTACAGATGGTGGGGTCTTTTGGCTTCGCCTTCTCAGGGAATGAAGGCATGGGGCCTGCAGCCTCCGCGTAGTCGTCGTCACTGCCCTGCGCCTCGTTTACCAAGATGTCGTCCTTGTTCTTGACAGCCTTCTTCTTCTGCCTCTTCGCGCCTTTGCTTGAACCCGGGTCGCCATCGTCCTTCCACTTCTTCTTGCTCTGTCCGACGCGAGGGGCGACCTTAGCAGGAGCCTCAACCACCTTAGCCTTCCCCTTGTCAGCAGCAGGGACGCGGGGTCGCCGCTCCTCATCCGGGCTGTCGTCGTCCGAGAGCAGCACCCGGGTTTTTTTCCGGGACACGCCTAGGCTGTGACGCAGCCGCCTCTTCAACAGAGGCACGTCATCATCTGACGAGACGCGCCATGGGTCGTCCGCGTCGTCCTCGCCTTCGAAGAAGACAGCATCACGGCCATCACCCGCCTCCGCCACCACAACAGCAGCCGTATTTGCGCCTGTTTCGGCCTCCGCATCTGCATCCGCCTCCGCATCCGCATCTTCATCCGCCTCTGCATCCGCATCTGCATCCGCCTCCGCATCCGCATCTGCTTCCGCCTCCGCATCTGCACCCGCCGCCTGAGCTTCTACCGTCGCATCCGCCGCCGCATCAGCAACCGCATCCGCGCCTCCGTCATCGTCATCGTCGCCGGCGTGCCACTCCTCCACATCGTCGCCGGAGCCTATCGGCTGCATCCACCAGTCGTCATCGTCGATGCCTCCGGCAGGCACCTCGTCACCAGATGTGCTGTCGTCGTGGCCGTTTTCCGGCCAGTCCTCTTCGTCCTCGTCGCCATGATCTTCGTCGCCGGCGTCTTCGTTGCCCTCTTCCTCGTCACAACTTGCGCCAGAGCCGGCGTTGGAGCTCCCCGCCGGTTGGCGCTTCTCTTTTGCCATGTCTACCCGGATGTCGTCACCGGGCGAGTTGATGCACCCATAGTTGGTAACATGGACGTTAGGGAGAGGAGACGGCGCGCTTGCAGGATGCTTACTACGCATGATAGAGCCTGCTTAGAGCTAAGATTGAGCCACTTTCGAGTTTCACGAGCAAAAAATGAAGCTCAACCTCGACTACCCCCCATTCCAGAGTGCCCCCCCCCCTTGGAAGACGAGTCGCTCCTCTACGGCAAATTTGCTCGTAGAGGACAACTCAGGATGGCAGGATGCTGCCATCGTGCTGCTGGCAGCGTTCTAGAAGGCTCTGTTCCCTGCTGGCAGCAAAACGACACTAGAAGCATCATGAGATGCTGCCAGCAGGGCGGAATTCTGCCAGCACAAGCAGCATTGATGCTTCTCATCACGTGGCACGAGGTGGCGGCGCATGAATCGCATCAAAATGTGGCTGTTTTCAATTAATCCGCCCCGTGGGTGGTTTCTACAGTCTTTCCGAATGTTACATGGTTCTTATATATTTTGCCTATTTATAAGAATTATAAGACACCCCAAACCGTCCCAAATATAAGACACAGCAAGCATTTTTTCCAATGTATAAGATAAGACATATATGTCTTCTATCCGGGCGATGACGGTATGAACATTCAGGTAGTCATTTGATATAGTTCTGTTCCTTGTGTCACTTGTAATAAATGCAAAGCCCACCAATAACATACCTATGCCCATCCTTGTTCCTGTGACGAGTTGGTGGAAGTACACACCTGGATCCATCCTTTCCATGTGCCCAACACGCGTACGGGAGCATGGGAACGCTTACGCGGGGGGGCAGCTTGTATTCTGAAATGATTGGAATCAAACTAAGTACGGTACTTGGAAAAGGAACATTGTTACGGGTGCAATGAATCGAAGTAGCGAGAATTGCACTAAGGTGTCAAACGAGTACAAAATGTGAGCGAAGGCATGAGCGAACATTTATACGCGAAACATGCAAACGGTAACGCGGTGTGTGCGAGCTAGCTAGTGCTACGCTGGAAGCGAGGCTCGGGCTAGTCTCGAAGCGTAGGCCGACACGGCCGGGCCAACATTGCAAGGTTTGGTAAAACAGTGCGCGCGAAGTCGGCGAAGTCCCGTTAGCAGTAACGGGCGAACAACGGCTGCTGCTGTATGCGATGTTGCAGGGTGCGCTTTGTTGGGCTGAAAAATAGCCCTTAGGATCTTTGCAGAGGAGAACTCTTGGGTAGAAACTTGTAATAGCGGAAGCGTTTTAATGAGGATTGTGAACCGACCTTGCACTGGTGTGTGAGAGCAAAGTAGATTAAATTAAACAAGCAAATACAAGGATTTATATAAGAGTACAGGGAATACGAATAGATAGATAGATAACTGTATTGCTGTTGCGGTTCGATATAGTGCGACTCGGGCAACTGCTCTGTAACGAGTCAGTTGTGTGTCCTTAACTGTCGCGCTGTAATTGTCGAGTCAAAGGTCAGCGACCTTTGACTTTCTCGTAACCTCCAGGCGGTTACCCTAACCTCCGAGGTTGACTCGATGCTTCGATTGGGACTGCTTCGCTTGGTGCCTTGGATTTTGATACGACAGAAGCGCAGTTAGGACTTATTGTTTCCAACACTCCCCTTCGCTTCTGGAGTGTCGTTGCTGGTGACGTGGCCTTGTCTAGTCAGCATCATGCAGTATTCGAACTTCTGCTTTCCGAGTTTCTTGGTCAAGTAATCGGCTGCCATCTCGGATGTTGGACAGTATGACAGATCGAGTTTCCCTTTTTCTATCTCGTCCTTCACGAAGAAATAGCGCAGGGCGATGTGTTTCGTCCTGTTTGCGAAGCCGTTTTTGTTGGCGATGCGAATTGCCGAC